AGAGGCCACAGCTCAACCCGTGCCGGGTGTACCTGCAGGGGCAGGGCGCGGCCACACCTGGGCCTGTTCTGGTGTCTCAGTGACAGGCAGACAGATGGGTCAGGTCTTGTTCAGTTAGGTCTTCCCCAAGGCCCCGGAATGCCGTGTCCCTGTTGCCACGTCACCCAGGGCCACTCACGTTTGTATCGACATGTCAAACCCTAACCCTTGAAAAAGGTGTAGACTGGATGCAGCTTAACTCACTAAGCCCTCGCGTTCTGATTTATCCCTTTTTAAAACCACTGTGTAGACTGTCCAGTCTCCTCGGGGCAGAAGGAGAATAGTAACATCAGAGGAAAGAGAAGGACCAGCTCCTCCTGCAGCTCCTTTGCCTGCACGCTCCACAGAGCGGAGGAGGTGGGGCTCTAAGTAAAAAGGAGTGAAAAGAAAGCAGGAGGGAAAGCGGACGTAGGGAAACCAGCCAGGACCCCCCAAAAAAAGTGCGTGGTTTCTCTCCCTCTGCCCCGTCCCTGCCCTTCCCACGCCTACCGTGACCCTCGGCGTTGGCTCGGCCGGCCGGCCAGATACCTGGGAAGGACCCTGTGGAGCTGGGGGCTTCCCAGACCTCAGTGGGCTTTAGAATCCCCCAGGCACTGTCGTAGGCAGAATGACACCAGCCCCAAAGATGCCCACGTCCTAATCCCTGGGCCCTGTGAATGTGTTGCCCGGCGTGGCTGGGGGCTAAGGCTGCAGATGAATTGCGGTGCCAGTCAGCTGACCTGAAGGTGGGGGTCGTCCTGAGTTGTCCGGGTGGGCCCGACGTAATCATGAGGGTTCTTAAAATGAGAGAAGGAGGCAGGAGAGAAAGCCAGAGAGTGAGGCCACAAGAAGGACTGTACCCAAGGTGGAGGGAGGGACAAGCCCAGGAACAGAGGCTGCGAGCTGGCCAGCAGACAGCGCCCCCAGAGGAGGCCTCCGGAATGCAAGACCATACATTTGTGCTAAACCATCAAGTTTTGGCAATTGGTTACAACGGCAAATAGAAAACGAATACACCCCCGGGGGAGCAGCACAGGCGGGCAGGTGCCCTGAGGGCCTCAGCAGGGCTCTTCCCTCATTGCTCGGTGGGGGTTGGGGCTGGGGGCGGATGCTGATCAAAGGTCTGGGGGGGCGGAGCTTCTGCAGCAATATCAAGCTCCTGATGGACTGGCGCTGCCGGGCAGAGTCCTCGTGCTGAGAGGTGGGGACAGAGCCTCTCCAGTCTGGACCAGCGGTGACCAGGGTCTGAGGCGGCTATGGACACAGCTGGGTTTGTGAAGCCTGGTGTCCGGCAAGCTGGGGCTTGGTGGATGGTCTGACGCATCTCCAAGCTGCCATCTGGATGAACGACTTCCACAGTCCGCCCTCCTGCAGCCCTGGAGAGTGTTGGGGTGGGGCTGGGTCTCTCTTCCTAGCCTCACAGGCATGGAAGAGCAGAGCTTTGGTGGGGGCTGGGAGCTTGCTTTTTCCTCTCTGACAAGGCACAGAGCCCTTGGATTACCATCTGGAGTTGCATGTCCCTAGTCCCCAGTTTTCTGGCCACAACAGGGAGGTCTTTCCTGTGCAGATCCAGGCCCACACTTGGTGGGAGGGGGCTGCTTCCAGCTGCACCCCTGCAGCCTTCCCACCTCCCCTTCTCCACATTTGTTATGTCTCTCATATACTGATGCCCCCACTGGGCAAGGCCCTCTGGTTTTCTGAGAACTGGCCCCTGAGCCTCCCTTTTCTGTCAGATGCTCCCTGGATCCTCGGGGTCAATGACCAGCTGATTCAGCCCTGGCCCACCCTCCACTGGGAGTCAGCTCATGGGACGGCCGACCCCACTGCTCCTCGCACAAGTAGGCAGGGACACCATCTGCCTCAGTGGCTTGCAGCCAGCTGCTTCCATTGGGAGCCACTGAGATACAGAAGTACCTTAACCCCAAGGATTAGAAGGTCAACACCCCGGATGCAATCCTAGACTCAGACCAGAGCTGGAGCAGGGCCAGGAGGAAAGTGGCTGGAGAGTGGGGGCACCTGCTTGGCGCTCTAGTTATTTTCAAAATGTGGTTTGGACGTAGAATACGACCTCAGATAAGCCTGAGACGCTGAAGGCAGGCCTGAAGGGTGGAGAGAGTCCTGTGGGTCCTGCGTGCCCCTGGATCTAGCAGGGCCTGAAGCCCACCCTTGTACTTAGACACTTCTGAGGGCCAGTGAATGCCATTTGGTTTGACTGCATTTTGTGGTGGTCACAAGGGAAAGAGGGTGGACTAGCAGGGATGAGGCGGGGAGCTGCAGTGAGGTTCACATGAGCTAGGATTGGGAGGCTGAGACCAGCGGCGCAGTAGCTCCACCAGCAGCGGACCCTCCTGTGGCAGGTGCATCCCCAAGCCCTTCCCACCTCGTGAGATGTGTGGGAGGCATCATGATGGCAGGACCGAGGACAGTAGAGGACTCTCCCCTACCATGAGCTCTGGGCGTTAATTCCACATTTTGTACTCAGGTCCTCTGTCTGCTCTGGGGTCTAGACTGGCTATGGGGCAAGGACGGCTCCCAGCACATATGCGTGTAATAGGCCATTTATAACCCACTAAGATGCCTTCTTGCTGGGAGTTTCAGCACCATGGACAGCACCCATGACCAGGCACTAGTTTACAGGGCGCTAAGGAGGGGCTCTGGGTCTCCACGGGGGCTGCTCCTGCAGCAGGAAGCCAAGGCATACATGGTCCCTGTGTGGCAAGTCAGAAATGGACCTGTGTGTCCAGGGCCCAACGCTTTAGACCTGGTCCCGGTTCTGTGGTGCTGTTGCAGGAGGACGGAGGGACGGAGGGAGGGATGGAAGGAGGGACGGAGGGAGGCGGGTGGGCGGGTGCGCACCCAAGGAGGTGGGGGAGACTGAGTGAGTGTTGTTTCTCTGACCCAAGATCACAGGAGCCTTGACTGATCAGCATTTTGTGCCTTCTTAACAAACACAGATTTGACACCCTGGGAAATAAAACAGCTGGGGCAGTGTTCCTCAGAAATCACGTCAGGAAGAGTAGACCGGTCCTGCCGACCTCCCAGTGTGGCTCCAGCCAGACCCTGCCCTGCCCTGGCTGGCACACACCCAGTGACCCTGCCCTGGGTTCCGCGAAGAGATGTGTGCTCCTGCTGTGGGCATGTCACGTGTGTGGTGACAGGCTGCTCCTGTGACCCTAGAGGGCTTTGGGGAAGAAAGGGGGCTGTCTGCTGGCGGGGGGCTTCCCTTCTTGAGCTCAGCCAGGGAAGGGCCATCTCTCCCTGAAGACCAGCCCTGGGGCTGGGTTCCTGTGTCTCCTGACCAGGGCATTGCGTTGGGCCTGCTCCCAGACCCTGCTGCCCGGCCCACTGGGCTGTGGGACGTGCCTGCAACTTTGTCAACAGAGACCACTCACAGCTGCCCAAGTCAGCCTGGGTTTGGTGGGGGCAGCAAGTGGCCACACAGACGGGGCTCAGGGGTTGGGTGACCACGTGCAGCCCTGGGCCCGTGGTTTTCCTGGGACGGTTCTCTGTGTTCCATTGGTTAGGAGGGCAGCACGGGCACTGGTGATGGGGCTGGCATGAGGGCGGCACGAGGAAGCAACAACCACGTGGTGTCAGCGAGGCGAGCATATAATGGGGCCAGCTCCACGAGCGACACAGCTGCCCTCTCAGCAGGCCCCACCATCCTGTGGCTTCAGGTGCGTGTCCTGCGACGGCACTTCCTTCCTCCTCCATCTGCGCTGGGCGAACAGCTGGGCCAGTGCAGCCACCGGGATGCAGAGCGCGGGCAGGAGAGACAGGAGCACGCAGGCGGCCTGCACCCAGCCGGGGTAGAGCTTCTCCGGCCGCAGGGGGAACTGATCCTGCAGCACACGGGAGCTACACGGTCAGCTGGGCGTCCTGGGAGGGGCAGCCTCACTCGGACCATGGCCACTCTGGACCAAGTGAGGCTGACCCTGAAAGGTGGGAGCAAGATTCACGCGCTCTAAGCTGGATGAAGATAGAAATGGCGTGGTCAGGACATGTGCCAGGGTGCGTGGCCGCTCATGGCTACTCCCAGGGCCTCGGCAGAACTGCTCCTGGAGGACGGGGGAACCACTGAGAGACGGTCCTGGGCATTGTGTCCTGGACCCACTGGGCATCGTCAGACCCTGTGTCCCCAACTTCCTTCTCTATAGGTGGGGGAACGCCACCCACCTGACCCAGGCACTTCTTGTGAGGCCAAATGAGGAAGTCGTGTTGAGTCTAATAGGACAATATTTATGAGAACTCCTCAAAGAATACAGTGTCTTTTCTCCTTCGCAGCCTTGGTGTTCTGCTAGGGGAGCTCCCCTTTCTAAACAGAATGTGCAAGTAAATTGTGTCCACACCCCTGAGGAGGGGGCGGCATGGGAGGATTCGAGCCTCCCAACGGCGAGGGCACAGACGGCTGGGAGGGGGCTGGTGACGCTCAGAGGCCGCCCATGGCGGGGAAGGGACTGGCAGCAGAGTGCGGTCACAGCGCAGAAACAGTCTCGAGCCAAACTGACCATTGAGCCAGTGACTCCTTTTGTCATGGACTGGGAACAGGCAGTCTGTGGCTGCCTGTCCCCATACCACACAGGAAACATGCCACAAGGCCATGTCCCCGAGGGAGGTGCTGGAGGGACACTGCTTGGAGCCTCACTGCACTGACCAAGGCCTTTGCCCAAGGTCACCCGGGGTGGCAGCAGTCATCTCTGATACTTCCAGGGACACATGGCAAGACCATCTTATTTATATCCATAGTTCCCCAGTTTGCCAGGCAGAGGTGACCAGGCCACATTGTCACTTAGGGCAAGAATGTGCATCATGTGGGTCATCTGGGCCCCAGATGGCACTGCAGGGGCCAGACCATTCTCTAAGTGTCCCAGGGCTCCCAGGTCCCACTGGAATGACTTACGTGTTGGGGGTCCCAGGCCCTGTAGCTCAGTGGCTTCTGGGCCAGGAGGACGATGTAAGCCACGAAGATGGCCAGCAGCAGCAGAGGACTCACGACCCGCCAGGCCACCTGCCAGTAGAGGCCGGGCCGGCTCCCGGTCATCCACATGATGTCATCGCAAAACCTGCAGAGACCTGGGCTCAGGCTCCCCCCAGGCAGCCACTGATGGTCCCTGACCCCAGCCCGAACCCTGGTGCCTTCACAGATGCCCCAGGGCAGAGCGCCCATGGGGGTCCAGGCAGCTGTGGTGTGCCCACACCTGCCCCGTGTCCCACCTTGGTGGGGTCCCAGAGGAGTGGTCCAGTGGAAAACAGCTCACCGTTTCATTCCGTAAACATAGATGACACCGACCACCTCGAAGAAGGCTAAAACCATCAGGTTCAGAGAAACCACGAAGCTGTCAAAGATCTCGAGCCAGTAGTTTCCAGACTGCAGCGTGAAGCAGATCGCAGCGAGGAAGCAGAGCAGGCAGATCAGCCCTGGGGGGACAGCGGCAGGAGCGGGGAGCACAGCGGCCGAGCTCCCGGCTCTCTAGGTCTCCCTGTCCTCCGCTTCAGTCCCTGTCCTCCCCGGTCTCTTCCCTCCATTGTGCCCAACGAGCAGGAAGGACCTGCTGGGGGAGGGGGCCCTGGCCCCGGCCCACCCCTCCCCCTGGCTCCCCATGGTGGCCATCAGGACTCTCAGGACTCACGGAGCAGCTGGGCCCCGCCTTCTACGGGGACTCAGATGGGGCCCCTCAAGCACTTCACAGAGGAGGGGCATCTAGACAGCGGGCAGGAGAGGACAGCGGGCAGCGAGGCTGTGGGGCGGTGGGACGGCCACCTGGTGGCCAAGCTGTCCACTCACCAGTCAGGGCCTCCTTGGGGACCCATCTGGGCACAGTCCCCAGGTCCAGGAGTGGTGTGATGATCCCCTCCATGTTCCCAAACATAGACGACAGGCCCAAGGAGAAGAGCATCCCGAAGAAGAGCACGGCCCACCCCGGGGCCCCCGGCATGTGCAGGACGGCCTCCGTGAAGATGATGAAGGCCAGGCCCGGGCCCGAGGCGCTCTGCAACACACCCCGAAGAAGAGCACGGCCCACCCCGGGGCCCCCGGCATGTGCAGGACGGCCTCCGTGAAGACGATGAAGGCCAGGCCCGGGCCCGAGGCGCTCTGCAACACACGGAGCCCCCATGCCGAGACACGCATGTGCATGCACGTGCCCATGAAACACACGCAGGCACCCCGCTTGGTGTCAGGGGCTGAGGCTCCTGGCCCTGCCCCGCTGGGAAGACAGGCCGCAGGTGTACCTCTGCGGGAAAGGGAACTTCCCCTTTAACACCCGCAGCACGCAGGCAAGTGTGGAACCCAGGGCTGTGGGGCTGGGCACCCTCGAGGTGCTGCCTGAGGACCTGCCTCTTGGCTGCCCATCCCCCACCTGGTGCCTGGGCCCCAAACATCAGCTGGCCCTGAGCGTGCTGGACTCTAGCCACGGCCTGGCTCTAGCCACCCCTTCTCTCCTGGGGTCTGTGCAATGCCGGGCCTCTCAGGTCAGCCTGGGCCCCAGCCCTGCTGGGCAGGTGCTCAGCTGGGCACAGCTGCCTGTGAGGCTGCAGAGTTTTCTGGGAGCCCTGGTGAGCCAAGGCACAGGGACAGACTAGGAGCCTTTGTCATGGCCCCCCAGGCCTGTGGGAAATGTTTGCAGCTATCCGCAGCGGGGTGTCAGCCCATCTTGCCCATGGAGTTCCTGTGGACGGGCCAGCTGGCCTGCCTGGGTGCATGGGTACCTTGTCCAGAAAGTGTTCCAGATGGCAGTCCTTCAGGGGGAGCCGGGCCACCCTCTCTGGCTGGGTGGCATTCAGGTGTGCGAGGACGGCCGGGTAGTCGTCCCTGGAGATGCTCTGCTCTGGGAAGTCAAACTCGTTGATGAGGCCGAGGACATTCCTGCAGGAACAGAGGGTGCTAGTGGGGGGCACTTGGCACTAGCTGGAGACAGACACATCTAGGGACACTTCTCGGTTAGTGCCGGGAGGAACAGCAGCGTGGGGAGGCTCGGCCCTGCTGGCCCTGCTGTGGCTGGCGGTCATGTGCACACCGTGGCAGGTCCAGCACCTGGTGGGGACACCTAGGTTCTCCTGCGCTCTGGGGTGGGGAGGCACCCCTGTGGGTGCAGATGGAGTGGTGGCAGCTTCCTGGCCTCATTGACTTGTGGGTCCCAAGGTGGCACTGAGGGGTGGCACTTGGGGGGACACCAGCTCTTGGAGGTCTGCTGGGAAGGGCCTGGGCCTGGCTCCCCTCTGCCCTCCTCCATGTCCAAGGTTCCTTCTGTCCAAGGATCGAGGGCAGAAGGAACCCCTGGGAGTGTGCTCAAGGGCAGGGCAAATCAACCCCAAGCAGATGCCCTTTGGGGGCTACAGCTCCCCCACAACAATCCTGAAGAGAGAGGTCGCACCCCCATCCCCAGCCTCGCGTGGCTGCGTGGCCAGCTGGGGGTCTCCGTGGAGTGGGGCAGGTCGTGCGTGCAGGTGGTCCTCATTACTCACCAGAATGTGCTCATGACCCCGAATCCATACCCGTGTGCTTGTGCATCCTTCTCAGACATCCAAAGAGTGACAAGAAATTTGAGCCACCCACATGCAGGTCCCAGCTGAGGCTTCCCAAGGCCATGCCGGGCCTTCCTGTTTCAGCTCCGACTGTAAACAGGCGTCCTTTCTGTTGTCTATTGAGTGCCACGGTTTCCACATTTTTGCGCTTTCTGTTGGTGACTTTGCCATTTAAAACGGCCCCAAGCACAGTGCTGAGGTGCTGTCTCGTGCTCCTCAGTGCAAGAGGGTCTGTGACTGCGGAGGAGGCCCACGTGTCAGATGAGCTTCGTCAGGGCGTGAGGGACGGCGCTGCTGGCCGTGGCTTCAGGGTTAGAGTCAACACTTCGTATGAGGTAAGGCGTCTCTAAGCAGCAGCACACGGACACCAGGCTGTGTGCTGTTTGCTTGATCAAACGGTGACCAGAGGCTTGCAGGGACCTGACTGTACTGGATTGAATTATGTCCCCCAAAACTCACTGAAGCTTGAATTGTTTTATGTATTATGTATTAGAAGTTTTATGTTTTAGAAACTTGGCCCCCACTGTGACTGTTAAGAGGGTGGGAAATCCTATTATGGTGATTGAAAGGTGGAGCCTTGAAGAGGTGATTGGATTGTAGGACCATGCAGTAGCGAATGGATTAGAAATGGTGGTCAGGGGTGTGGTCCTGAGGGCTTTAAAAGGATGAAAGGTGGAGCCTTGAAGAGGTGATTGGATTGTAGGACCGTGCAGTAGCGAATGGATTAGAAATGGTGGTCAGGGGTGTGGTCCTGAGGGCTTTAAAAGGAGAGGAGAGTCTGTCTGTCTGTCTGTCTGTCTGTCTCTCTCTCTCTCTCTCTCTCTCTCTCTGCTCCTACCATCTTGCAATGTGAAACCCCTGGGTCACTGTCACCACCACCAGATGGACTTTGGACTTCCCAGCCTCAGAAAGTGTAAGCAATAAATGTGGTTTTACTTTATAAATTACCCAGTTTCAGGTATTTTGTTATAAGCACCAGGAGTGGACTAACACACCGACCCCGTGTCCCCCTGGAGCGAAGGCTCAGCACTTGCTGACTCGGTGTTTGCAGGGACTTCGCAGGACACAGGACCGTGCATAACGGGAATGGACTGTACCCTGGTTCGGTGTGGCAGTCCCTAGCTTTGCTCCGCGCAGCGCTACAGGCTGGGCTGGGATGTGACCACTTGGCGGTGCTCCTTGCATCTACGTCGCGAGGAAAGAAGAGGGGCTCTCTCACTGAACCCCATCCCGACTCCTCACCCAGCCAAAGAAGCTGGAAGAGCCGTCCCTTCTGCCCTTGAGTGGGGCCCTGCTGTTTACTGGAAGTTTCCAGGAGGTGCGGCTGTCCGTCCTCACCGCCGTCCCTCTGCTGACGTGCGTGGTTAGACCACCGCCTCTGCCCGCAGTGCCATGGACGTGCGGGTGGCCACCCTTGGGGGTGTCCTGTGCAGTGCCAGTCCTGGCCCCACCCTCCGATGGCCGGAGCACCCCCTTCCCCACTCCGGCCAGCAGCAGCAAGCAAAACTCTCCAGACGTTACAAATATCCCTGGTGAGGGGCAGAATCGCCCCACGTCAGAGGACTGTGACCGTCTACCCGGTGGACTGTCAGTAAGACACGCCTGGAAGTCCATTCGTGCACAGTGACCAAGAGCCTTAGCAACGTTGTCCGTGTGACACTGCAATTCCAAGTGTGGGACCATCCTAACTACTGGCGCCTGCGGCTGCCATGACAAATGACCAGAAATGGGGGGCTTGAAACAACAGGGATTTATTCTCACTGTCTGGAGAGCTGTGGTGTCTGAGATCAAGGTGAGGCAGGGCCACACTCCCTCTGTGGCTTCTCCTCTGTGTCTGTATGTCCTGGTCTGTCTTTTATAAGGACACTATCATTGGATTCAGGGCCCACCTACCCCAAGATGCTCTCAGCTCAATCCTTACCTTAACTACATCTGCAAAGACCCTTTTTCAAATTAGGTCACATTCTGGGGTTCCAGGTGGACTTGGGCTTTTGGAGGCAGGCACCCATCGGGCAGCGGTGCCCTGCACAGCCCAGTGGAGTGACAGTGCTCACCTGTCCAGGCAGCGCCCGTAGTCCTTTGTGGCCTTGAACCCCATGATGGAGAAGATAGTGACGGATGCGTACAGGGAGGTCATGCTGTTGGCCAGCGCGATGACCACGGCATCCTTCCTGCAGTCATTCCTGGGCACAGCACACCCATGTCAGGGCTTTGTGGGTCATGACCGGGCCTCGCTCGGGGGAGGAAGTGGGGAGGGGCACCCTACCCTGGGATGCCCCCCACTCTGACCTTGGGCCTGCTGGGGTCTGAAACACTCAGGCCACCTCACAGGCCTTGGGGGTGACAGGGGACTGAGGGGCAGGGCATGGTAGAGGGCCTGGAACGCAGCGTGTTTTCGAGGATCTCCAGAGGACAGTTGCACACAGGAGCACCTGGGCGTGGTGCGCGGCTGACACTGAGAGCACCCCCAGCCCAGCTCACACTTCATCCCTGCAGGCTGCTGGAGGTGGAGCCACTCAGAGCCCACCACGGCCTCCCACCTCGCAGGCCACGTGAAATGAGGTCTGTCTGCAGTTTACCACCGTGCGTTCCAGCCACGTGTTTTATGATCGGTGGAACTGCCCTTTGCAGAGCTTCATGTATACTGGGCCCTCACAGAAGCAGCCTGTGTGCGCGTCTGCGTGGGGGAGCAACCTGGAACCTACTTCAGGTGACTGTCGAGGCTGACACACACTGTATTCCAGCTTTAAGTCCTCATGCGTCACACACGTGGGGGTCAGCATCACACCCAGTTACAGCCTCGATCCTGGGTTTGAGCGTCTGGCTTTTCCTGCAGCCGCCACAGAGGGTCCTAACCTGCCTGCCCTCGAGGGACCTCCCCCTCTTGGGGGTGACTTAGTAACTGCAGAAGCCCCGGTCTCTGGGAGCCCATGACACAGCACAAAGTCCCCCTCTTCCCACAGTGTGATCCTGAGATAAAAAGTGCTTTGCACATCTCTCCACAGCTCCATGGGGGCGGCACCGCAGCTATAAAAGAATGCACAACTGAGCCTGCTGCCTACCTCGGTGGGTTGTAACTCGCAAAGGCAACATGTCCTCCAAAGGCCAGGGACAGAGAGAAGAATATCTGGGTGGCCGCGTCCAGCCACACCCGGGGGTTCTGGAGAATTTGCACCTGGAACATGTAGGGAGAGTGATGTTGTGTGGCAGGCAAGCCTCACCAGCGGCAGCTCTCACTGTCCTAGAGTGTTCCCGAGGCTTCCTTCGGGACACTCTCATGAACAGTGTGAGCTGCTCAAGCACTGGGAACTGGTCAGCGCCATGCGGGAGGGAGCGGGCCTGGAGCGGGGCTCTGACCACAGCCACCACGGCTCCCCTGCTGAGCTGTGGCTGAAGAAGCCGTGGCTCAGGCCCGTGTGCTAACTTAGCAGGCACAGGTTTTCAGGGCTGGCAATGGGCGTGAGCCGACTCCTGCTTGGCAACGTTTATTCTGCTCTCGCAGACTTGGCGGTCTCGGCTGATCTGAAGGATTGGGACCGCACGCACACAGTCCTGCAGACCCCACCCCTCCCTTGGCTCCCACCAGGTCTCTGGGCAGACACACCACACACAGTGTGCTTTTCATGCCTGGGGGGTGTGCTGTACAGCCCCCGGAAACACCTTGGGACATGGGGAGCAGCACCTCTGGTCCTGTGGCTCCCTGAGAGGCTGCGACTGGGAGAGGCCTCCAGTGGGGTGGGGTCCAGGTCAGGGGCCCAGCACTCGATCTAGGATGGGTGTCTGGCCCCAGCCAGCCTCTCTCCTGAACCCCAGCCCTAGTCCCCCAACCCCGCTCCTGTCAGTCTCCACGTCGGTCTCCACCTGGATGTCCCACAGGTGCCCAAGTCCAAACCTGGCCTTCCTGAGACCCTCGCGACCCTCCTTCCTGCCGTCACCCCACCATTTCCCGGGCCGGCCTTGTCTCTGGACCCTGCATGGCAGCTGCCATATGGCTCAGCCACTGACACCTCAAGGGGATGAAACGAGCCTGGGCCGTCGCCCCCGACTTGTGTGTCTCCTGGAGGCCCAGGATCCCGACGAGACCCACTTACATTGGGAGTGAACAAGTGGGCTAGCCCTTCCGCCGCCCCGGGCAGCGTCAGCCCTCTGATCAGGAAGACCGTCAGGACCAGGTACGGGAACAAGGCTGTGAAGTAGATGGCCTTGGAAAGAGAACAGGCATCAGACTTTAGAGGGTCCGTCCCACAGAGGGGCCTTTGGAGAGCAGGGTCCCAAGTGTTTGAGCACAGTCTGTCATCCAGAACACAGCCGGGACAGGACGGGGCACTTTGGGGGATTGTGGGGTGCAGGCTCAGTTGAGCTCAGAGGGTTTGGGGCTCACCATGAACAGCCATGTGTGTGTCCCTTCATCACACGCTTGTGGCCCTGCAGGGTCTGCTAAGGTGGGCACTGACCATCTGGCCTTCCTTGATGACAGGGGCTGGGCCCCTGAGGGGGCCTGAGCTGTGCCCCCTCCCCAGCTCTCCCTCCGCTGGCCTCTCTGCTCCCAGCCTCCCCTCCCCAGCGGCTCTGGCCTCCACTCTCTTCTCTCCTGGGTGACCTCATTTCTGACCTCGTGTCCTTTTTCCACTTCAGCCCCCTCCAGCCTCCCTCCTGCTCTGTCCACAGCCCTTGCTATGCCCCCAATGTCCTCTTCCTTCCATCCTGGTGTCCTCAGCTGGCCGCATGGCAGGGGACACACTCCTCTCTTCCCCACACAGGCCCAGCCCCAGTTCTTGGTCCAGAGTGGCAGAGGTCTGCATCCTGGGGGGTCCATGAGAAAAAAATCTACAAATAACCCCCACGCCCCCGTACAGATGGGCTTTGCAGAGTCACCTGGGATGCATTTCTAAGGGCTTCCATAATAGGATTATTTGGAATTTCTGGCTGGCTTGCTGGGCCTACTGACTGCTTGGTCCAATTCAGTCCTTCCAATCCACTCAAGCGTGAAGACCCTTCCAGGAGAGGAATTGTGATTTCGGCACCTAACCCAGGACAGGCACAGGACACACGGCACTCAGATCCTGTGCAAAGGCTCTGCAACCCACAGTCAGGAGGCCGGTCCAGGGTGTATGGACTTAGTGCCACCACCAAAAAGGATTCTATGTACATGCGACATTGACCCCAGAGAATAGTAAGGAGCCCCTCTTACTGGGTGCACCAACACAGCTTTTCTCACGATATAAGTCTCTTCAAAAGGTAACCACCTGTTTAAAACAAAACTGATAACAATGTGTTTGCTGTTTATACCGTATTATAAATAAAATGTGTGACAACATTGGCACAAAAGCTGGGAGGGAAGAGATGGAAGTAAAAGACAATGAGGTTCTAAACTGCACATGAGGTGGTGACAGTTGCAGACATGTGCCGTGACCCCTAGAGCAGCCACTGAGGTAACAAAGCAAAGAGTTAGAGCTAAAAAGCCAATAAAGGAGATACAGTGGAATAAAAAAATAATCAGAAAGGAGAAACCAGAACAAAGAAGAGATAGGGCCAGTAGAAACAGATCTAACGATAGAGCTAAACCCAAGCACATCAACAATCACGTTAAATGTAAATGGTCAAAACACCCCAAAGAAAAGGCAGAGATTATCAGATTAGGTAAAAGAGCAAGATCCACTTATATGCTGTCTACAAGAAACACTATCAACGTAAAGACACAAAGAGGTTAAAAGAAAAAAGATGGAAAAAACACTGTTAACACAGTCAAAAGAAAGTTGAAGTGGCTGTTTAGATATAAAGTCTATTTCAGAGCAAAGAATGTCACCAGGATAAAGAAGGTTGTTTCACAGTGATAAAGGGATCACTCCTCTAAGAAGACATAGTGATCCTAAATGCTTACACTCCTTGTAACAGAGCTTGCAGGCTCATAGCAAACACTGGCAGGTGGGGAGGAGTCCTCGCAGCCGGAGGATGCTGGGGAGGGGGTCCAGCCCATGGCTCTCACCTTCCCTGTGGACTCGATTCCTCTGCTGACGCATAGGTACACAACCGCCCAGCAGGCAGCCAAGCAGACCAGCAGCCGCCACTGGACAGTGCCGCTGTTGCTGATGTCGGCCGTGATGTTCAGTGTCTGCCGGTACCAAAAGTAGCTCACGCTGCTGCTACCCTCGCATTCCTCCACAAACCCTGGAATCGGGGGACCCATCATGGCTGGCCACAGGCTCAGGCCCATCCATGCTGCTGCCCCAAGCACCACCACAAAACAGCAGCACCACACAGTCAACCCTTCCCTTGAGCTGCTCCTGTGCCCGGCAGCCCCTGTCGGTTCTCACAGCTGCCTTCATCGGGCCCAAGCACCGCTCTTGCCTCTCTTTGGGGCTAAGGCTGAGACAGAAAAGAGATATGGCTGTGAAAAGGCAGAGGCCACATGAGCCTCGCAGGGAAGGACAGCTCTGTCAGAGTCGCCACCTGGCTGGGCCCCAGGCGGCCCCACAGCCTCTCCAACCATGCACACAGGCCCACTCCCTTCCTCTCAACACCGCACCCGAGAGCCCCAAGGCCAGTGCAAAACCACTGAGTGGCAGTGGCTGCACGTGTCAGACGTCGGGTCATCTGGCACTCGGAAAGAAAGCAAGGCTGGGGCAGGAACAAATTGTCCTGCTGTGTCCTGCACCTCCTCAACAGGGTCACAGGCTGACTCAGGGAGTCAGAGATGGCATGTGATAGGGAAATGCTGGGCCCCCTTCTGGAAAAACTCTCAGGACCACAAACACCCTGATGGGACTGCTGCCCCCAGGCTGTGGGCTCCACCCTCCACACCGTCTGCTGGCCCTGGAGCTCCTTTGGAGACTCCAGTGCTGTCACACTCCAGCTCTGAGTTGACCCTTGGCCTGCAGAGCTGGAGGGAGGGGCCAGGGGAGGCCGAGGGAGACCTGGACTTTCTGCGCACCTTTCTTGGAAACCTCCCTTCGGTGGTATGTGGGCAGATGCGGGGGCAGTTATGGGGCAGATGCTGGATGGAGGGCCCAAGACCCAGGCCGTGCCCAACCCTCCTGCCAACTGCATGTGCATCAGGTGAGGACTTAACCCTTTTAGACCTCAGATCCTGCCTAAAAGGCAAGGGGTTTGCCTAAGTGGCCCCAAAGCTAATCCCCTGGACAAGGTGGGAGGGATTCGGGCCTCACAAACAGCTGCCCAGGTGCTCAGCTGCAGATGACACATGCTGGGGCTCCTGCTGGAGCCCCTCAATGAAGGACAGAGCAGGTGACTGCAGCTGCTGGTGCCCTCTGTCTCCTAGGCTGTCCTTGCTGAGCATGTGCCAAATGCGGTTTCCCATCAGCGAGAGGTGTGCAGGAAGCGAGGGTCTGAGCGTTGCTCCGCGGGCAAGCCATGGCAATACGACTTATCCATGTCTGAAGCTCTCCCCGGGTGGAGCCCTGGCTGAGGTTTGCACCTAAAGACTTAAATTCCACGCAACAGCCACCCCATCCCCACTCGCCTTCCCACAACTGAGCCTCATAAACGGCTACAAGAGGCATCCCCAAGAACGCATGGGTCTCCGTGGGCCCGGGGTCTGGCCGGTAACCAGAGGCCCTCGGCAGAGGTAGAGAACCAGGCTTCACACGCAGTCTCTGGGCGAGGCGGGCGGCGCGAGCCCTGTTGACACAGCGCCTGCCCGTCCGCGTCCCTCGACGGAGCCAGGACACAGGCGGGCGGCACCTGGCTCCCTGGCCGCAGCCTCACCTGTCCTGTCGAGGTCAGGCGGGCAGGAGCTCCAGGGCAGTGGCTGCTGGAAGGAGTTGAGAAGGAACCAGAGCACCCACGTGAGGACGGTGTTGTAGTACAGGCAGACCAGGGAGGACACCAGGAAGCAGCCCAGGCCTGCGGACACCCGGCCTCAGTGCCCGGCCTGCCGCCCCCAACCCCGCCCCCCCGGCCAGGACCAAGCTAAAATAAATCAAATAATACAATGAAACGAAATAAAGCAGAATAAAAGGTAAAACGGAACAAAATAAAATAAAATGTAAAATTAAACAAAACAGAAGAAATCAGGGCTGAGACGTGGGGAAGGTTTGGGGGGAGCTGCGGCCTCCGCGCCCGTGAGCTGTAGCGACAGCTTTCCTGTCCTTCCAGAATGCCCTTCCACACGTGCCTCACTGTGACTCTCCCTAAGTCCTCGTCTGCCTCTCACACACACCCAAGGGCTCCCGCGGCCGTCCCCGGGCTGTGCCCCCTCCCGCCCAGGGAGCCAGGGCTGGCGTACCCACTCCGCCGAGGTAGGGCGAGATGGCCGTCCACACGCCGATGCTGCCCTTGCGCAGGCGCTGGCCGATGGCGAGCTCGATGTGGAAGAGCGGGATCCCCTCGAAGACCAGGGCAATGAAGTAGGGGACGAGGAAGGCCCCTGCAAGGACATGGGGTCAGTGCTTGCCAGACCCGGGCTGTGGGTGGTGCCGTGGGGTAGAGGACCACCGTGCTCTTCCTAAGAGGGGACACGTGACCTGCTGTCACCCGGAGGTGCTGCCTGGTACCGAGACCCGCATCTGATTTTGGTCAGTTGGCGTGGCACTGACCAGGTGACTGCAGGAGCAGGGTTGGGACGTGAGGCCCTGGGCCAGGTCCTGGGGGGGCCGGGGGCCTCGGAGTCAGCTCGTCCCCTGAGGCAGGACGTCAGGTCTGATCCAAACCCCGCCTTTTATTCAGAGTTTGTGACAAGGTTCATTGTCAGATGTGCCTGCCAACATTGTCTCAGAGCTCCTGAGCCACTGGCTACGACTCAAGTCTGTGGGAGGACGCTGTGACGGGTGTGGAAACAGCCCAAGGGCTGACTGGTCGGCCCAGCGGGTCAGAGCTGGAGCTGGAACACCAGGGTCCCGGGTTCGATTCATATAACAAATGGGCCATTTTGTTGGACCGGGACCTGTGACGCTTGCGCAGGGTCTCTGCTGCCATCTCAGCGTCCGTCACGCTTCCCCCTGGGAGCCCTGAAGAGCCGCCCACAGAAATGGCAGGATGGGGGAGAATGCCAGGAGAGCCGGCTCCCAGAACCAGTGCCTGCAGGACAAGCCAGCGATGGCAGAGCAGGACTGGGAGCCAAGGACGGAGCCCACAGACCCACGGGGACCCCTGGTCGGGCTGAGCAGGGTCGGCACCTGCAGCCTGACCTCTTGCCCAGCCTCTGCCGTGGCACCTGCGGGGAGCTGCTGCTCCTCCCGGCACGGCGGGTCTGTGCAGCCTCGTGGGACCGAGGAGAACTGGCCCCTCACCGCCGGGCCGCTGTCAGCGTCTCAGCACTCCTGGTGGCTGTGATCTGGGCGAGCCTGGGGTCTGTGGGGCTCCACTCGCATGTCTTCCCCCCCTGCGCACACAGGTCCCGGGCGTCAGCTGCCTGGCCAGTGCTGACTTCTGGCATCTGACCCGAGATGCCGACCTACACGGGCAATGATCTGCCACCTGTGGTGCTCCTCTCTGGGCTCTCCAGCGTCCCTCAACAGCTCTGCAGGGGTCTCACATGGCAGAAAATGGCAGAGCAGAGAGAGAGAGACTCTCACGTGCTCTTCTTTTAAAACCCTCAGAACCACACCCACGACCACTGTTATTACTCCAGTCACTGCAGCACAGTCCTACAACCTAATCTCCTCTTCAAGGCCCGCCCTTCCAATTACCATAACAAGATTTCCCACCCTCAACAGTTAAGTGAAATTTAGCTTCTAATGTATGAACTCTGGAGACACAATTCAGCCAATCCACAGCTTTCTGCCCCGGCCCGATGGTCACGTCCTTCTCACAGGTGAATGTATCCATTTTATCCTCAAAGGCTTAACTTGTTTCAACTCAAAAGTCCAAGGTTCAAAGTCCCATCTGTGAAATCAATATAAGTTATCTACTAAGATACAGTGGTGGCACAAACAGAGGTACATATTCCTATTCAAAAAGGGAGAAACAAGCCACAAGAAAGGGGGCCAGGTCCTAAGTGTTAGAAAATAACCCGAGTGCTCCGTTTCAGGAGCGACTTGTCTGCAGGCGTTTGTCCAGGTGGCAGTTAGTTACTAGCCCCTTTTGTTTTCTCCATTTTCCTGGAGGGTCGCTGAACAGACAAGGCTGTCCTGAGATGGTGACCGGTTACTAGCCCCACGGTTTTCTTCAGTCCCTGGTGTTTCTCCCTTCACAGGGCTTTAGTGGGTCTTTTTCGTGGCTTGTCCTGAGCCCCCAGACAAAGGAATTCCTTGCAAGGGGATAATACACGTTAGGCGTCATTTGAGAAGATTGTGCAGCCCGTAGTACTCAGACAATGAGGAAGTGGGGGCAGGGACGTGCATACTAGGGAATAAGTTGCTTTCTACAGCCCTTTCCTGTGTGCCTGTCCCACTCACGGACACCCGGACTTGCAAGGCTGCTAGTGAAGTCCCGCTCCACTGTACCTCGTGTCTGCATGTCCATCCTCTGGCATTGGATGAGTTAGGGTATTTCTCACACTAAGCAAGTCCAAAACCCAGCAGGGCAGGCACTAAATCTCAAAGCTGGTGAATCATGTACCTTGACACCATGTTCCATGTATTCTACATGCTGGTGTGGATACATATTCCTATTCAAAAAGGGAGAAACAAGCCACAAGAAAGGGGGCCAGGTCCTAAGTGTGAGAAAATAACCCGAGTGCTCCGTTTCAGGAGCGACTTGTCTGCAGGCGTTTGTCCAGGTGGCAGTTAGTTACTAGCCCCTTTTGTTTTCTTCATTTTCCCGGAGGGTCGCTGAACAGACAAGGCTGTCCTGAGATGGTGACCGGTTACTAGCCCCACGGTTTTCTTCAGTCCCTGGTGTTTCTCCCTTCACAGGGCTTTAGTGGGTCTTTTTCGTGGCTTGTCCTGAGCCCCCAGACAAAGGAATTCCTTGCAAGGGGATAATACACGTTAGGCGTCATTTGAGAAGATTGTGCAGCCCGTAGTACTCAGACAATGAGGAAGTGGGGGCAGGGACGTGCATACTAGGGAATAAGTTGCTTTCTACAGCCCTTTTCTGTGTATCTGTCCCACTCACGGACACCCGGACTTGCAAGGCTGCTAGTGAAGTCCCGCTCCACTGTACCTCGTGTCTGCATGTCCATCCTCTGGCATTGGATGAGTTAGGGTATTTCTCACACTAAGCAAGTCCAAAACCCAGCAGGGCAGGCACTAAATCTCAAAGCTGGTGAATCATGTACCTTGACACCATGTTCCATGTATTCTACATGCTGGTGTGGAGATTGGGTCCCCAAGTCCTTGGGCAGCTCTGCTCCTATGGCTTTCCTGGTCTCAGGCCACACTTCAGCTCTCCCAGGCTATTGTTCCATTCTGTAGCTCCACAGCTCTAGGGTCTCCATGGCAGTCCCGCTCTCATGGCTCCACTACACATGGCACTGATGGGTTTCTCTGCTGCAACTCCAGCTGTACGTTTCCACTTGGCATTGCTCTAGTGAAGGTTGTTGGTGACTCCTCCCCTGTGACAGATCTCTTCCTGGACCCTCAGGGTTTTCCATCCATCCTTTGAAATTGGGGTGGAGGCTCCCAAGCCTCCACAGCTCTGGCATTCTACAAGCCTGCAGACCTAACACCACGTGGATGCCACCAAGGCTTCCAGCTTGCATTTTCCAAAGCTGCACATCCAGCCACACCTGGGGCCAATTTAGCCACAGTCAGAGCAGCCAAAGCAGATGGGGAGCTGGTGCTGGAAGCAGCTTCCCAGCGTGGCCCTGGGAAGCGAACCTGTGGAGGGTACCTCAGTCCTGTTCCCCAAGACCATTCTGTCTCTCTAGGCCTCTGGGCCTGAAATGGAAGGGTTGGCCCCAGAGGCTTCTGCAATGCCTTCAGGGCTTTTTTCCCCTTCTCTTGATAAATGCTTTTCTTCTGCACTAATCTTAACACTATTACATTTTTCTCTTGAAAATGCTCTCTGCTTCTCTACCACATGGCCAGGCTGCAAAGTTTCCAAACCTTTATGCTCTGCTTCTCTTTTAAATTCTGGCTTTATGTCATGCCTTTGCCACCATAACTCAGCATAGGCTGTTACAAGTAGCCATGCAGCCTCCTTAATGCTTTGCTACTGAAGTTCCACATTCCATAAAACTTTTGGGCATGGACACAATGCAGCCAAGTTCCTGCCAGTTCACAGCAAGGGTGGTCTTTGCCCCAGTTTCCAGTAAGCTCCTTCTCATTTACATGTGAGATCTTCTCAGAATGGCCTTTACTGTCCACATTCCCATCAGCATTCTGCTCACCACCACGTAACCAGTCTCTAAGAATTTGCAAACTTTCCCTGATTTCCTGTCTTCTAAACTCCCACCAGCAGCTCGGCTTTTTCTAGCCTGCTCCTCCAAATTCCTCCAGCCTCTCCTCAACACCCAGTTCCAAAGGCACTTCCACATTTTCAAGTATTTCTTATAAGCAACACCCCACTTCTCTGGTACCAATTTTCTGTATCAGTCTGTTTCTGTTGCTTATCACAAAATACTTGGAACTGGATACCTTGTAATAAAACAAAATTAATTGCTGACAGTTTCAGAAGCTGGGAAGTCCAAAGTTCAGGGAACACATCTGGTGAGGGTCTTGGTGGTGGCTTTACAGCAAATAGCCAATAAAGTTTAAAAGAAGAATAAGCTAAAAGGACTTGCTCAGACTTATTATAAAACTACAGTGATTAATACAGTGTAACTTTTGGTGCAAGAATCCATATATCTCAACAGAGCCTGTAAGATACAGAAATCAGATCCAGGACAGACACACCTACAAGGCAGTACGTGTAGAACTTGTAGGAACTGATGGACTGCTTAGTAAATGATCTCAGTGTGCAGCTGGGCCGTAGCTGCCAGCCAGAGCCATGGCAAGGTCGTAAAGGCATCCTAGGCTGAAACCTTTAAACACAGCAAGTGTTTAAAGAGTACCCCAGGCAGCTACCCTAAATCTACCCCTTAGTATTTATGGGTTCTATATCCTCTGATTTAATGGTGCTAAATACATGATAAAGCAGCTCGCCATGAAATGACATTTATGTGATAAAATCACTGTCTTTGTCTAAATGTTTTGCTACATTCTGTTACAATGTTGCTTTAAATGTCTTGTCTTTGAAAAGAAAATTTATAAAGCCGAGTAATTACAAGTGGGAACGGAAATGACACTGAACTTTGGTAGTAATGGGTTTATGCGAATTTAAAATACCAGACAAAATCTGCTTGTCAATTGTGTCTTATCTTCAGAATAATCAATGGGGGTTAAAGTGAGACCAAAAAAGGAGGGGTGGGGTTCACGTATAGGGTTAGAATGCCCATCGGCAAAGCCTTTAGGGACACTCGAACAAGTGATCTCATATCTGGAAACAGATGCCACAGTATTTCACAGGAGAGCCACCCTGCACAGCCCGTGCGCACAGCCAGTGGCAGGACGGGCTGCCCTTTGACTCAGGAGTGCCCAGTGGGGGTGGGGAGATAAGCCTCTGCCATCCCCGTCCAGCCTCCTCCATGAGGCGCAGAGTGACCTCACTGCCTTGCAGGTGAGAGGATTAGAGAAGGTACTTTCCCGGAACGCTGCCCAGCACAGCAGGCGCTAGACAATCTGTAACCTGGTCATGGTTAGCAAAATGGTGACAGACATCTCAGCAGCTGGCCAATGTCCCGGATGCTGCATGAAGTCCTGTCCCTGTTCCACGCCTTGGTGACATTCTACAAAGACAGAGCACACGGAGGCAGTGGAGACCCCAGAGCAACGCAGAGACCCTCCATCCTGCTGTAGGGTTTTCTGTGCTTTTCAGAAGGCCTTCAAGGGGGCTCTGTCAGGACGAAGAGGTCCAAGGCCTGACGAGCCCTCACCTCACCCCAAACCTGCAGAGACCCTGACGCCCCTGGGGCAGCAGTCACAAGAGGCTCTTTCTTGTCTCTCCATTTCTCTGAATTTCCAATTGTCTGTATGCCATGAATATTTTTTTTTTTTTTTTTTTTTTTTAATAAAGATGACCGGTAAGGGGATCTCAACCCCTGGCCTGGTGTTGTCAGCACCACGCTCAGCCAGCGAGCGAACCGGCCATCCCTATATGGGATCCGAACCCGGGGCCTTGGTGTTATCAGCACCGCACTCTCCCGAGGGCCGGCCCCATGAATGTTTTTTAATAAGGAAAACAAAAAACTTTTAAGGAAGCGGTACCTTTAAAACAAGGGAAGCGCCATCAGAAAGTGCTTTTCCCTCGTCCTGCTCAGCGTGGTGGAGCCGACGCCAACCCCGCAGACCCTCCCCTCCCGTCACCTCTGGTGTGGTTCTGTCCACCTCGTGGCCAGGAGGTTTGTCCTTGAAAGGCGGAAGGACCACCCCAGTCAGGAAAACCGCGCCCACAGGCTTTCATTCCTGTGCATGTCCTGGGCGCAGGGCCGGAGTGATGCCCTGACGGAGACTCCCCCACGCTCCCATCTAGAGAAGCGTCTTCTGGGACAGCTCGGGGCTTGCAGCAGCAGAGCGCTTCCCGCAGGCCGGTCGACCTGGCATCCCAGCCCGGCCCCAGACAGGACAAGGCTGGCCGCAGCCCCTGGGGACAGAATCGGGTGATGTTCCGGCTCAGCTCCCGTGTCCCAGCACACAGCACAGAGTGAGACCACGCACATCTGCGGCGACGTGAGAGAAACAGGCTCATCGAATGAGAACTGGCCCCCAGGGCATGGGTGCCCATTTCCTCTACAAACACAATTTTGTGGGTGACGTGTTTAACCAACAGCAAAATAACTGGCGGGTCTGAGCCTCCTGGCACAGTGCCGGGTTCTCATGGAGAACCGCTGCCTTTCCTCTACAAACACAATTTTGTGGGTGACGTGTTTAACCAACAGCAAAATAACTGGCGGGTCCGAGCCTCCTGGCACAGCGCCGGGTTCTCATGGAGAACCGCTGCCTTGGGATCACTCATCAGCAAAGCCAGAAAAGCAAGGGGCACACCCGCTGTCATGGCAGGAACCCCGGGGACAGCCTGGTGAGGACAGGCCTGGACACGCTGAGGCGGAGATGAGGAAAACCGTGGCCACAGGCTGGTTTCTTCAAGAAGTGACTACATCCAAGACAAAAGAGCAGCCCTGCCATAGAGGAATGGCGAGTGGCAAGTGTGTCTCTATTCTGCTCTCTGTCACCTGCTTGAGGTTGCCCTGAGATCCCTGAAGGCTCAGACACCATCGGACGGGCTCACAGGGACTGGCTCTCCCTGGGATAAAGGCACACTGGAAATTCCTGGGAGGAACAACCCCTGCCCAAGGACTGGGACAGGTGACAGACATCAGGAACATCAGAGTGGGGTGGCCCTCCCGCACGTGGGGTGCGCCGGTGCGGGTTGGCAGGCTTACCTCCCCCGTAGGCCTGGCACAGGTACGGGAACCTCCAGATGTTCCCCAGCCCCACAGCAAACCCGATGCAGCTCAGCAGGTACTGCGACTTGCTGTCCCACCTGGGTCTCTCGTCCCCATGGTCATCCACATGCGGGGCTAGTCCCGGGACGAGGGCCATGCCAATGAGTCACTCCGGAGTGCCAGGTGCGAGGCGGGTGGCACGTTCTACACCCAGCACTGTGGAGTCCTCTGGAGCCTCTGCTGGAATTTGGAAGCCCAGGCAGACACCCCTTCAGCTTTATTTTCTCATTCTTTTAAACAAGAGCCAGGAGAGCCAGGTTAATCGGTAACTCGGGCCAGGTTTTTGTTCCACCTGCGGCGGTGCCTCCCCAAGGCCCGCATGAGGCCCCCTGCATCCGCCAGCCCTTCTCCCACGTTTTGTGTCTCACACAAACAGCTGGCCTGGGGCCACCACCAGCAACATGAGTAACAGCCTCGAGTTCCCTGTTGGGGACACTCGGGACTCTTGAGACTGGCGCACGTATAGTTGTTTTGTTTTATTTTAATTAACCTTCTGATTTTGAAATAATTGTGGATCCACATTCCGTTGTAAGAAACAGCACAGATAAGGTTCCATGTACCCTCTACCCAGTTTCCCAAAACAGCAACATCTTGCAAAACCTAGGACAGCCTCGGCCCAGGTGTGCACATGAATACCTCGGGATCCAGAACATTCCATCTCCAGGAGGAGCCCTGCTCACAGCCGCCACTGCTGTGACTGCTGTTGCTGGAGGGCCTGTGACTGCAGTCGTGCACGCGCAGCCCTCTGGCTGGCTTTTCTTGCTCCCGCCACGCAGATGCTCGTCCGGGCTGTTTCTGCGCCCACGCTGGGTTTCTCTTTTTGCCGAGCGGTGTTCCCTGAGCATCCAGGTGACCGTCTCCCACTGAGGACGCGGGCTGTTTCCACTTTGGGGTGTTTATGAACACAGCTGCTGCATAGATCCGAGTACAGGCTTGTGCACGACGTGGCTGCACGTCATGGAGGGGGTGCCCGGTGCTGTGCTTGCTACTCACATGCTGTGCTATGTTTAGTCTTCAAGCTACATCTGTTTTTCAAACTTCTCAAGTTGTCTGGATGTGAACTTTCCAGCTGGTTCTAGATGTCCCTCCTCTGAAGTTTTCCAGAAAAGACCCCACCCTACCTCACCCAGGGCCTGCACCTGCTCCAGATCCCAACCCCAGGCCAAGGAGCCCCCGCTGAGTGCAAGGCACCGGCCACCATGGGTGGAGCGGGGAGCGTGGAGGAGTGGGGGTGGGGTGGGCATGGGGGCCTCCTCTTTGCTGAGATGCTCTCGGAAGCCCCCCACCCACTACGCCAGCTGCATCCGCAGCTACCCTCGGCCAGCGGTCAGGGTTGGGTGACAGCCACTGTGAGGGACTGAATGAGTTCAGCTTCAAGGGGCTCCCTGGACTCCAGGACCCTCGCTCCAGACACTTCTGCCAGGACAGGGCAAGTGTCCCGGGATCTGCAGCTCCCACATTCCCCCAGACGCCACGTCTCTCATCCTGTGGCCACAGTTCCAAATACGAGTCCCAGGAGTGTGGGCCCCAGGGGGACGCATTTTAACAATATTCTTTCTAACGCTAAAAAGAATGGGAGCTAAAAAAAGAAAAAGAAAAAGAAAACTTAACTCGTAGAAATAGAGAGCCGAGCTGTGTTACGATGGGCTGCGGCCAACCCAGGAACCTGCGACTCACTGTGAGTCACGCGTGTCCTCAGAGGGCTGGGGAGGTGCTCAGATGTTCTCCCCACGAAGAAATGACAAGTTTGGGGGAAATGTGTGTACTAACTGCCCTGATTTGACCATCACACACTGCACACACGTATTGAACCATAGCTCTGTACCCCACGGATACATACAATTAATGTGTGCCAAATAAAAAATAAATAAATTCTTTCAATAAATAAGTGATGGAATTTCTAAAGGAAAGATCCTTTTTGGATGAGACGGAAAACGAGAAAAGGGATAAAGAAAAAAGATGAAAAGGGGGGGAGGGGCGGGGGGGCGTCACCTGGCTCGGTCACCTGCGCGGCCGTTTCTCAGGTGACCCCTGTCCTTCCCACCTCCCTTTCCCTGCCCACCGCTGCGCCCAGCAGACCTCACGCAGCCCCTGCATCCTGAGGCCGAGGGCCCACCCACCGCGCATGGCTTCAGCTCAGCCAGGCAGGGCTGCAGGGTGCCTTGGGCAAGGGAGGGTGGCGGGGGGGGGGGGCGGGGGGGCGTCACCTGGCTCGGTCACCTGTGCGGCCGTTTCTCAGGTGACCCCTGTCCTTCCCACCTCCCTTTCCCTGCCCACCGCTGCGCCCAGCAGACCTCACGCAGCCCCTGCATCCTGAGGCCGAGGGCCCACCCACCGCGCATGGCTTCAGCTCAGCCAGGCAGGGCTGCAGGGTGCCTTGGGCAAGGGAGGGTGGCACCAGCCACCTGTCACACCCTGGCCTTGTCCAGCCCACTGAGCAGCCAGGTCCCCGTGGTGAGGGCCACGGGTCCACAGCATCGAGACTCCTTGAGGGAAAGCCCCTGGAAACCAGACCCACAGCAGGAGTCAGGAGCAGGACCCTCCAGTGTCCGTCTCCTGCGGCCTGGGCTCAGCTGCTCGCCAGCGCACCCTTCCACACCCAGACAACTTTCAGCCCGACAACATTAAATAGAGGCAGTTTATTTAACAAGTACACTGTGTGCCCACAAACCCTGCTTTTCAATCACATTCACAAAGACACCAGAGCCTGTAAAACAACATACTCATCAAGAGACACCAAATGACGTAGATGGCCCCACCCAGGGCACACCCGTGGGCACAGGGACTCCCCTCGATGCACACCTGGGGGGCCTCAGGGCGGGGGGTCCAGAGGACAGTGTGTTCCCAGTCAAAAGTCAGAAAAGCTCAGGGAATATGAGGTGGGGCCTCACATCGGCAGGTGTGGCCGCGGCCTTCTGTGCCGTGCCCGGGTGCAGCATCATTCCCGGGCTGGGGCCGTGGCACATGTAGGACCCTCTCGCTGCAGGATTCTGCAGCTTGTGGTGCCCAAAGGTCAGCGGCGTGGGTGGAGGATCGCCAGTGACAGACTTAGTGTTTGGGGGGCTAACAGCTGGAGTTGTGGTCGCCGCTGGACGGGAGGTTCTGGGAAAGGGAGAGCGTGGCCTGGGGCGTCACGGTCACTGAGGGTGCCCAGGACACATGGAATGTCCTCAGCGATGGTGGCCAAGGCTGAGTTACCATATAACCCATCTTTTCCAACATCTGGCTAAAAATTCACACAGTTAATGCCCTCTTAAGAAAACACAAGGGTGGTTTCTGCCTTAAATAACGCCAAGCAGAGTTTTATTTAACTGTTCACCTATTGGGGCGGCCAGAAGCAATGATTAAATGGATTAGCATGCATTAAGCCACAGTATTGCCAAGACTCGGGACTCGGCGAGGGCTGGCTGGCTGGCTGCAGGACCCGGAGGACGTGGCCAGGTGGCCAGCGTGGTACAAGGAGTACAAAGACAAAGTCCTCAACCTCGGGGGTTCCTGGTTTAGAGGCCAACACCACAGGGACAAGGTGGTGTGGGGAGAATCATTCCAAGGAGCCGAGACAGCACACACGGCCCTGTTGCCCACTGTCCACAGCAGATGACGGCAGCAGGCGCAGCTTCCCTGCCTTTCGTGGCTGACTCTCCACGGGGCGTGTGGGTGTGGCAAGGTCCCACTGGGTCTGCTCCAGGGCCCACAGCACACACCACACCAAGTCTGTGAGGACAGTGAGCAACCAGGCCCAAGTGATGGTCGTGTGTGCCATGAACATACAGACGTGTGCATATGTGCACACAAACACACACATGTGTATGCACACATAATCCTGTATACACACACGAACATATGCATTGCATAAATACACGTGTGTGTACACGCACATGTGTGTACATATTTGGATATGCATGCATGCATATGTCCATACATATGTGCTTGCACACATGCACGTGTACACATATACACATGAAGATGCACATGTACACACCTGTATACATAGAAATGCATGTGCGTGCCTATATATGTGTATGCACGTGTGCATGTGTAATGCATACACACATGTATACACACTCATCCACACGCAAGCAGGCATACACATATGCACACATACACACAGGTATGCACACAGAGAAACACAAGTAGGTACATGTATGCACACACATACACATACATGCACAGCATGAATACACACCCACATGCATGTACATACACATACAGCACACGGAATCACATACATGAATGTACACTCACACACACATGTGCAGCCGGCCACCACTCAAGGGTGCTGCCAGTTCCTCTTCCCCCCAACTCAGTCCACTGCCCTCTTGGGCCAGCCATTCAGGTCCCCATTCACAGAGGTCGTGGACGGCACGCTGACCAGCCCCTGCTGGTCCCCTGGCCTCTGCCAGCGGTTCCTGATGAGTTTGTAGATGGCAAAGCCAGGGATGGAGAGGGAGGGCACCCCGGCCACGATGACCACCACCGCGTACACCCAATTCGGATACTTGACCTTCTGGGATTTGGGAAATTCCTCCTGCGGAGAGGAGAGGCACAGGGATGAGGAGACACATCAGGAGCCCAGGACTCACCTCCTGGTCCTGTGGGACTGGGGGGAGATGCAGGGCTCCCCTCGACGGCAACGTGCACCCCTCGCCCCACCCCCACGCCTTTCCACAGGGAGCCTGACAGGCTGCTCTTCCAGCCCAGCCCGGCGTCTCTGCACTCACGTAGCTGGGGTCCCAGACGCTGTATATCAGATCTTCGTTGACCTCGACCACGAGGAAGAAGAGGACGATGACCAGCATGATCAGGGGGCTGACCACCCTCCACGTGACTTGCCAGAAGATGTTGGGCTTGTGGCCAATCATGAACTCGATGTCCCTGTTGAACCTGGAAGCAGAAGCCCAGAGAGAGTGTCACCAGTGACCCCGCCAGGACTCTAACCTCACTGAGACAAAGGATGGCCCAGTCTTCTTACAGCCTGGACCAATGGTGTCGTCCTGGGACGCCGCACGCAGCCTTGCTCAGCGGAGTTCTGTCCAGCCTTCCAGGCAAAGGGCTGACGCCTCCAGGAAGACCTCCTCTGTCTGCCTCACAATGCCACCACCCCAGCCTCTGACCTCAGAGGGGCCCTTGTCCTCACCACGTCCTGGGCACTCACTGATGTAGAATGAGGGGTCAGTACTTCTGGGGGAGCAGGGGGGAGAGAAGTCCGCCCAGAACCCTCCCAGCCATTGTGCCCTCAAGCAGATGTCCCCAGCACTCCTGTGGCTTGTGCCCACTGTGCGGACATCTCTCCTGCACAAGTAAGATATTGTCTGTGGACATCAGAGCAGAACAGGTGGCACGTGAACGTGAGCTGCGCCAGGGCCTCCAGCACCCGCGCCTCACCCTGTCCGTGGGCAGCGGGTGTCTGACAGCGGGCCGGCCCTGGGCCATCCCCAGGCCCCTGTGCTGCATTGAGACTGCGGCGCACAGCCCTGCAGCACAGCCCTGCAGCACAGCCCACGTGCCTCGGTCCAAACGTTCGTCGTGCTGTTCTCTGGCCGCCCCGCAGCTGCCCCCCGGGCAGGTTCAAGCTCCGTCCCCCTCACCTCTAGCTGAAGTGCGTCCCACCCAAGGACCCTGCAAACTCGTGCCCTTACTGACTCAGAGCAGGCTTCCTGAAGTAGGAGCCCCTGACACAGGGCTTGTGCACGCTTAAATAGACCCCGTCAGATTATTTCTGAAAGTCACTGTGAATCTGTCTCCCACCAGGGGTGCCCACTACCAGATCCCCGCCAAGCAAAGCCAGGTGAGAACGTCCTGACATGTTAGCTGAGAGGACGGGGACGGCTGACAGGGACACGGGTTCTAAACGTGCCCACTCCCCCGCCTTTCTTTGTCTGGGTTTCTGTCTGGCTACCGGAGCGTCCACACACACACCACACCACACACACACACCACACCACACACACACACCACACATACCACACACACATACCACAAACACACACACACTCTCTCTCACACACACACAGACACACACACAAACACACCACACACACCACACACACACACACATACACACACCACACACACACACCACACACACACCACACATACCACACATGCCACACACACACACCACAAACACACACACACTCTCTCTCACACACACACCACACACACACACACTCTCTCACACACACACCACACACACACACACACACACACCACACACCACACATACCACACACACACACCACACATACCACACACACACACCACACATACCACACACACACACCACAAACACACACACACACAGACACACACACACACACAAACACACCACATGCACACACACCACACATACCACACACACACACCACACATACCACACACACACACCACAAACACACACACACTCTCTCTCACACACACACACACACACACACCACATGCCACACACACACACCACACATACCACACACACACACCACACATACCACACACACACACCACAAACACACACACACTCTCTCTCACACACACACAGACACACACACAAACACACCACACACACCACACACACACCACACATACACACACCACACACACACACCACACACACACCACACATACCACACATGCCACACACACACCACAAACACACACACACTCTCTCTCACACACACACCACACACACACACCACACACACCACACACACACACACACTCTCTCACACACACACCACACACACACACACACACCACACACACCACACATACCACACACACACACCACACATACCACACACACACACCACACATACCACACACACACACCACAAACACACACACACAGACACACACACACACACAAACACACCACATGCACACACACCACACATACCACACACACACACACCACACACACACACAGACACACACACACACCACACACACACACACCACACGCACACACACCACACACACACAGACACACACACACACACACCACACACACCACACACACACTCTCTCACACACACTCACACACACACCACACACACACACACCACACACACACTCTCTCACACACACTCACACACACACCACACACACACACCACACACACACCCACCCACACACACACACCACGCACACCACCCACACACACACCACACATACCACCCACACACACACACACACACACACATGGCACATCCCTGGCTGAGGACCCTGGAGTGGGTGTGAAACACTCAGCTCCCTCCTGGGGCAGGAGGCCACTAAGGCCCAGGTCCCACGGGGCACCCGCCTGCTGGCAGCAGGAAGTTCATGTCACCCACGGACGATGCCCATTCCCATCTCACTCCCCCTGTCCTCAGCCCTCGATCCTCCTGCTCGCATCCAAGCCCACAGAGGCTGCTTCTGGGAGACCCAGACAGAGACACTGAGCCCCCTCGACACTCGCGCTGCCGTGTCTCCTGGCCATGAGCCGTGACCCGCCTGCACAGCCACTCCCGCCTCAGCCCTGCTCGGGGCTCCCCCGCTGACAAGGTGTAGTAGCCTCGTCTTCTGTCTACGTGGGTTCACACTGGTTTTCTAGCACGTTGTTTGCCTTTTGATAGCTCATGGTGCGTTGTCTATAAATTTTTCTTTTGTGGCAGTGGTATCTTCTCCCTCCTGCACCCCAAGTTACTATACAGCCCCGGGCTGTGAACACTTGTCCAGAGCATCTGGAAGCTGGGCGTGCAGTCTGGGTGTCCTCTGCACAGGCCCCGTGTCCGTCTCCCTGTGTGCCCTGAATGCTCAGCCCTCGGCAGGAGCTCTCCCGTGACTTGGCTTCTCCACATCAGAAACAGCCACTGCCGCCCTCCCCTACCTGTCAACGCCGTACACGTAGACCACGGCCACCATCTCGCAGAAGGCAATGACGAGCAGGGGAATGGAGCCAGCGTAGCTGTCCATCAGGGAGAGCCAGTACTGCCCAGAGTTCAGCGTGAAGACCAGGCCCAGGAGGAACATGCCCAGGCAGATGAGGCCTGCGGGCCGGGTGGAGAGCACAGTGCGGTCCAGAGCCCCCAGGGCTGCACTGCAGCCGGGAGGACAAGCACGCCAGAGCCTCCCCTGGGTGCCCAAGCCCGCCCCATGCACGCACCTGTGCACAGCTCCTTGGGCCACTTGGCAGGCATGGCCTTGAGGTCCTGCAGGGGCACAGCCACGCCCTCCATGTTCCCGAACATGGATGACAGGCCCAGGCAGAAGATCATGACGAAGAAGAGCACGGCCCACAGCGGGGCCACCGGCATCTTGGTGATGGCCTCGGTGAAGACGATGAAGGCCAGGCCTGTGCCCTCCACACCCTGCATGGTGCATGGTGGCGGCACAGTCACTGGGCTGCCTGCCTGGCCCCACCGTGCTGCTCTCCTGACCCCTAAGCCCACAGCAAGCCAGGACCAGGCGGGTCCGAGACCCTTCATGAAATGACTAGACCTCATCTCTAGGCCCAGCAGCGCTGGAGACCATGGGGACTTACCTCGGAGAGGAAGGTGTTGAGGTCGCAGGTCTGGAACTCCAGCTGTTTATAGGTGGCGGGGTCGGTGGCATTGCACCAACGCTGCATCTCCTCAAAGTTCTCCTGGGTCACGTTGCCCTCGGGCAGGTCGAAGCCATTGATGAGCGTCAGGATGTTCCTGCAAAGGACGGCAAGACTGACGCCGGCACTGGCGGGGACCTGGCCACAACCTGAGGGACCAGGATGGGCCACTCACGTGCTGAAGCAGTCATCGTAGCGCTGGGTGGCACGGAAGCCGATGACGGAGTAGACCACCGTGGCTGCGTACACGGACGTGAAGCCGTTGACCACGGACACGATCAGCGAGTCCATCTCACAGTTGTTGCTGTGGACAACAGTGGCGTCACGTGGTGGGTCCAGGTCCAGAGCACAGTCCCAGCCGTGACAGGCTGAGGACACAAAGGTGACCAGAAGGCCACATCCTGGGCTCCAGAGCCCACAGCAGTGACTCCTCACTGCCCCCCTTCTCACCACTTTACACCCCACCCCCCATCGTCGAAAAGCCCCAGGGACCCTAGAGCAGCTCTTGCCCCTGGCTCCAGAGCCAGAGACCCTGGGCTCAAATCCCAGCTGAGCCACATCTGCCTCGGGCTTCAGCCAAGTGAACAGTCAGCCCACAAGGTCAGGACTGTGCCTGGCCTCACACCCAGCTGCAGAGCCACCAGGGGCCGTGAGGAGGAGGCCTTGCCAGGGCCCCTCACCCTGCCTGGCCTCTAGTGCAGCCACCCCAGGCCCCTTGGCTCCAGCCCCCATGAACCTGAGGCCTCCTCAGCACCTGGCCTCGAGGGCACTGCCCAACAGTCTATTCCGAGGGGAAAGTTCTAGAAGTTGAAGAGCATTGCCCATAGGACTCCCAGCCATCCACAGCACAGGAGGGTGTTCTCCAGACCCTGAGCTCTCTGGGTGAATCCCTGGTTGGCCTGGGGAGGCGCAGGGTCTGTGCTGCTTCGGGTAGGAGTTTTGGCACAGCCGAAGGCCTGCACACAGAGCTGCCTGCTCACGACCACGAGGAGGCAAGAGGGTGTGGGCACCAAGGGGTTTGGGCCTCTGCCTTGGCTTAGGGGCTCCCCAAAGGCCGGGCCCTGGCTGCCCCTGCCTCCCCCAGACCTCTTGGCTGCAGCCCAGGACTCCCGTCCCTTCTCCATCCTTGTGCTTGCGGAGGCCACATTCAGCCTCGGGCTACCAGGACCGTCTCCGGGCCGGACACCCTATGATGACTCTTCCCAGTCCCTGGAGTCCTGTCTGCCCGCAGGCTGAGGACTCCCCATCTCCTAAAGGCATCCCCCACTCAGCACGGCCTGAGCTTAGTCCCCAAACCCCCGACCCAACCCCGGCAGCTCCCCCACCCTTCCCATCCAGCTGAGGCTAACGCCATCCTCCAGACGCTTCCATCAGAAGCCGGAGTGTCAGCCATCGGGGAAACGCAAACCAAACCACGGTGACACCACACCGCGCCTGCTAGAATGGCTAGACTAAAAAAGTCCGTGACAAGTGTTGGAGTGTGGGGCAGTTGGGGCTGTTCTACCACGCTGGTGGCAACGTCAGTGACGCGGCACCTCAGAAGACCGTCCTGCAGCTCCTTACACAGCTGAGTGTCCAGCTGCCCTACGGCCCAGCAGCTCCACTCCCAGCCGTGCCCCCGGGAGAAATGAAACTGACGTCCACCCAAACCTGCCCCTGCACGAGCGCTCACAGCAGCATAATCCACAACAGCCCGTGGAGACAACCTGCACGTCTGTCGATAGATGAGTAGGTAAGGGGACACAGGCTGCCTGTGCCGCAGAGTGTGACCTTGAGACCACTGCTTGGCCAGACACAAACGACCACGTGCCTACGACACAGCCACAGAGACAGAAGGCAGATCAGCGGCTGCCGGGGCCCAGGGTCAGGGCATTTGAAAGTGACCGTTCATGGGCATGAGGTTTCTGGTGTGATGAGAATGTTCTGGAACTAGGTAGAGGTGGTGGTTGCACAACTCTGTAAATGTACTAAAACCACTAAATTGTACACCTCAGATGGGTGAATTGTGTAGTTTGTAAATTATCTGAATAAAACTGTTATAAAAATAACTCACCCTCAGCTCCATCTTGTCCAGGCCACGAGAAAGTCAGAGGCCCCAGCCCCACCACGTCCTGCGCTGGCCCCACCGAGAGCCCCCTGCACCTGGTGCGACCCTCCCCGCCCCCACACTCACTGCACAGAGTTGTAGCTGGAGAAGGAGATGAGGCCCCCGAAGGCCAGGGAGAACGAGTAGAAGACCTGTGCACCCGCATCCAGCCAGGTGACCGGGTTGGCCAGCTCCGTGACCTGCAGCAGACCCTCAGTTGTGCACCGTGTGGCCCGGGGTCCGTGGGAAGGCAAGGAGGGAGGTGCATGGAGGAGACGCGAGCCTCCATGCGCAGGCAGGGGAGGGCGATGTGCCCTGGCCTGTCGTTCCGCACAGAGGGGCAAAGTCGGGGGGACACGCAGCCCCCCATCGCAGCCCTGGTGTGCATGTGTCGGGGCCCACAGACAGGCTGCCCCCTCTCCCGGCCCCAGTCAGCCTTTTCAGCCACAGGACAGGCCTGGCACAGGCCAGCTGCTCCCTGAGGATGGGAGCCAGTGCAACCATGGGGACTCACGTTGGGTGTGAAGAGGAAGATGATGCCGCTGGTGGAGCCCTTCAGCGTCAGGCCTCGGATGAGGAAGATGGTCAGCACCACGTAGGGCAGCGTGGATGTGATGTACACAGCCTGCGGGCACAGCACCGAGACGGGCGGGCTCAGCGGCGGCGGGGAGAAGCCCGGACCACACGGGACACCCCACCCTCCTCTCTGCCACGGGCGCCACGCTCCTCAAGTGGGGAAGATTGAGCCTCCCTCTCTTGTCTTCCAATCAGATGGATACTTTGTATTACTCTGGCACAAAGTTTTTAAGTTATGTTCGAAGCCATCTTGGCTAACACCCAGTTCCGGGGCCCCTGCTCTGAGTGATTCAGCAAACCCAGGAGGGCAACAGAGGGCCCCTCCCAGACAGATGGGTGCCAGCCTGAGGGCAGAGGCGGCCGCTCAGGGAGAGCCCCGGGACTCTCAGAGCTGAGTTAAGTGGTTCAGTGACTCAGGTATGGGCCCCCCACCCTCTCGAGCACAGTGGCCAGGCTCGGGCCCCACCCAGTACCTTCCCAGTGGTCTCAATGCCACGGATGGTGCACACGTAGAGGATGCTCCATGCACAGATCAGGCACAGCAGCATCCACCACTGGATGGAGCCTGAGTCGCTGATGGACCTGGAGATGTTAAGGGTCTCGCGGTACCAGAAGTAGTCCACAGAGGAGCTCCTGGCGCACTCGTCCACGTAGCCTGGGGGAGGCAGCCATATGCACACTTCAGAGCATGGGTCACCAAGAGGATGAGCCAGCGAGAGGAGGAAGGCAGGCACCATGGGGTCTTGAGCTGGAGGAAACGCCAGCCAGGGGCATGCACAGGCGTGCACATGCACAAACACACATGCAAACACACACAGTGTGCACGTGCACATGTACTTACCTGCATACATGCATGCCTGCATACATGCACACCACATATGCACACACACGTTGGGGAGCACACACACAGGCATGCATGCAGACATACAGAGTGTGCAGTGCACATACACAGGAGCTCACCTGCATGCCTGCACACTGACATGCACACCACACATGCACACACACATTGGTGAACACACACACAGGCAAACACACACAGTGTGCACACAAACATGCACACCACACATGCACACATGCATGGGTGAGCACATGCACAGGCATGCATGCAAACATACATATAGTGTGCACATGCATATGCACTCACCTGCATGCCTACACGCTCACATGCACACCACACATGCTCACACACATTGGTGAGCACATGCACGGGCACACATGCAACATGCACAGTGTGCACATGCACATGCACGTGTGCTTTCCTGCATGCCTGCATGCTCACATGCACACCACACATGCACACACACATTGGTGAGCACACACAGAGGCAAGCATGCAACCATACACAGTGTGCACGTGCACATGCACCTGCTTTCATGCCTGCATGCTCACATGCACACATGCACATGTGAGCACACACACGCGCGAACTGGTGAGCACATGCACAGGCATGCATGCACACTGTGCATGCGTACATGCACATGTGCTTGCCTGCATGTTCACATGCACACCTACACACACACATTGGTGAGCATATGCACACACACACCCATGTGCACATGCCCACACATGTGCAGCTTGCTAAAAGACACCAGCCCCAGTTGTCCTTTGTACCCCAGGCCTCCACTCGCCCCTGGACCCTCTGGGAAGCAGTGTCCCTAGGCAAGGTGCCCAGTGACTGAGGAAGTTGCGGAGTCTTTGGGGCTCCCTGGCTGGGGTCCCTGCCCATGACTGTCCAGCTTCACAGGTTCTTACCCCATGGGTTTCTCCAGGCTCATGGACCACACTGGGACCCTTACAAGGGAGAAGAGGTCTAATCCTAGAGGATCCCCCAACACAGAAGTGGGAAAAGCCCTAAGTGTGTGCACTGCCATGAGGGATGCTGGGGGATGGGTACTGTCCTTTTCTGATCCCGAGGGGCCCATACTGATAGGCTGACCCCAGAGCACTTGGAGGGGTCATGCAGTGAAACCACGTTGGTCACTCTTTGTTGGCTGGATCAGAGGTCACGGAATAGGCCATCCACATCCCAGCTGCTGTGAGCTGAGCATGCGTCTCCACAGGCCATGGCAGGGGTGCCCACTCACCCTCCATGAGTGAGGGAGTCCTCACAGGTCAGCAGGAAGCTCCATCTGTGCAGATAGAGGCTCAGGGAATGCGGGGGATGGAAGGTGGTCAGTCCCAACGTTATTTCTGTTACAGGTGTCAAGGGGCAGCATTCCCCAGAAAGTCCCACAAGCCCCAGCTGGTGACCTGAAGCCTTCACGGTAGCACGAGCCCACCCCAGCTCCCCGAGTTCCTGCCCTAACAACCTCACCAGCACCATGCCACCTGACCTAGGAGCTACCCTTTCAAGGGCTTTTTCCTGCACTATGATTTTGGGGGGCTTTTGTTTTATTTTTTTTTAATTATTTTTAAATTTTTATTTATTAATATATATATTTTGCATTCTAGGATGCTGTTATGGAGCTGTTGGGAGGGAGGGGTGGAGGGGAAGGGGAAGGAAATGGAATGGAAGACGGAGGAAGTAGGAGGGGTGGGGTGGAGGCCTGTGGCACCCCTCCATTCCCGCAGGGGAGACCAGGGGGCTTGCAGAGGTGGCTCGGTCATTGCTGGGCTGGGTGCCCTGTTGCTTTAAAGGTGCTCTGGCTTCTGCCGAACTTGACCGAGAAACACTTTAGGAAATTAGAGTGTGAGTGCTCCCAAAGCGTGTCCATCTGCCTGTTAAGAAGGTGCCGGGAGAGGAGGGTTGGGGGACTGTCCGGGCTCCGAGACCCTGGACGGCTGGGGGCTCACCTGTGTGGTTCTCGTTGAGCGGGCACTGGCTCCACGGCAGAGGGTCCTGGAAGGAGTTGAAGAAGTACCACAGGACCCAGGCGATGATGGTGTTGTAGTACAGACCCACCATGAAGGACACGAACATGGAAGCGAGGCCTGGGGGGGCGAGGGCTGGCCTGACACCTGTGCGGGGGCTGCCCCGATGGAAGCCACTCCCGAACCTGAGGGGGCTGAGTTCTTGCAGGTAGAGCCACCCACTTGACTAACCCAGAGCGTGGGGTCTCGTCACCCCATCCCCACCCCCACCTGTGCTGCTCGCAGGTGAGTCCAGGCAGGCGGCCACAGGGCCTTTGCACAGAGCTTTGGAGGTGCTCAGTGGGCGAGACTCTGCCTATGGGCGGGGGGCTGCCCACCGGGCCCAGCCCCAAACCAGGGAGCCCCAGTGGCCAGGGACAGGTGCGTGAGCTTCAGGAAAGCCTCTCTATTGAGAACTAATGGGGGGGACGGGGAGATAGGAAGAAGAAATCACCATGGGAAAGGTTCTCACTTATTTGGGGACAACTCAGCAGGATTAGAAAGGTGTTTCGTGGACATACTTTTCTGAAACTTAAAACTGAAAACCAGCTGTGTGTGTGTGAACTTCTGAGTGTGCATGGGGGTGCAGAAAAGAGGGCGATGGGAAGAGGGGACGGGGAGAGGGGACCGGGAGAGGTGTCTGCAGCTGCGGGAGAGCCGGGAGCGCGGGTGAGGACGGCCTCGGCTTCCGAGGGGAAGGCGCCTCGTGGACTCACGGTCCTGAAAAGAGGGCGATGGGAAGAGGGGACGGGGAGAGGGGACCGGGAGAGGTGTCTGCAGCTGCAGGAGAGCCGGGAGCGCGGGTGAGGACGGCCTCGGCTTCCGAGGGGAAGGCGCCTCGTGGACTCACGGTCCTTTTCTGTGAGCGGACCCTGCCTTTTCTCTTTCTGCTCAAGACCTTTCACCACTACCCGTATTCTGAGGTCTAAATGAGCCATGTCCCTTTGGTGAGGCTGTATTGGGGTGATCCCCGGGTTACAGAGCTTATAAATGAGTGACCACAGCTGGACCCGGGTGCAGTGCGGGGCCCTCCTCCCGAGTGTGGGTGCATGGACAGCGGAGTCTGGGAGAGCGTGTGGCCGGCGTCACCTCCAGCCTCTGGCCCTTGCAAAGCCCGACCCGGGTGAGCAGCTGGGCACCCGCCCTCTTCAGTGTCTAGCCCCTCCCGTGTCCTGGGCTGCGGGGACTCGGGCAGCCTCTGCTCGCCCAGGTGGCTCCTGGGGTCCAGGTGTGGCCAGCCTGGGCACTGCAACGTCCACTCCCATAGATCCAATGAAGAGTTTCCAGAGGCCTCAGGGACGGACGAACCTGAGATCTTCCCCTCCCCAGAAAGGGACAGAGAAGGCACAGAAGGAGGGCCCCAGGCAGGGGCTGCACTGGACACACACCTATGCCCTTGAGGGCAGGGTGGATGGAGGACCACACGGCCATGGTGCCCTTCCGCAGCCGCTGCCCAATGGCGAACTCCAGGTACAGCAAGGGTATGCCCTCCAGGACCAGCAGGATGAGGAACGGGATCATGAAGGCCCCTGCAACAGAGCAGACAGCGGAGCCCTCAGGGTGGCCACAGCAGAGCCCAAAGGCCACCCTTGGGGCAGGTGCATTTGTAGGAAGGGCCTGCAGAACTCTGTCACGACCATGGAACACCGCTGGACATGATCGGGGCTGAGGTGCCCAGCAAGTCTTCTGGTTTGGGGTCAGAGCCAACTCCATGTTCCAGAAGGACCTGTTCGTGGCTGGACACCCCCAACTGCCAAATGGGCTGCTATCCCCTGCCTGGCCTTGGGGAGCTGTGGTCATAAGTGATGAGAGCCAATGCCGCTGCATCATGACCCACACCAGGCAAGTGCAGTGGTGCCCACAGAGCCTGTGCCTATCAGCCGGGCGCTCCCACCGCCTGCCACAGCTGCACCTGCCGCTGTCCCAAAGCAGCACAGTTAACGTTCTGTGCCGACTCGGTACGAACGTGAGCCGGGAGCCCTGCTAGGGATTGGGCGGCTTCAAGGAAGACCTCACTCTTTCAGTTAAGGTGGCACCGGGGCCCAGCACACAGCTGACTGCAGTGGGAGCCCCGCGGACACCTGCCAGTGGAGAAATAACACAGGGGGCCGGGGGCAGAGCAGCCGTCGCGCAGATGTGGACGCTGCCATCATCACGCCAACCATCCCATGTGGGGTGAAGACCACACGCTGCAGACCCCACGTAGACAGGCTGGCACATGGGACCCTCCCTCTCCTCCCGACCCCCTCGCTTTAGTGCGGGTAGGCGCCAACCACTAAGGGCTTGGCCGAGGCTGGGGGTGCGCAAGCCTGACTCGGGGCCGCAGCAGAGTCCAGCACGCTCCAGCAGTGGCGCGGTCCTTCCAGCGCAGTGCGGCAGAGACTCGCACACCTGTGGCCCCAGAGGTCACTGACACTCAGCAGCTGCGCCTGAGCCTTAAGAGCTCAAAGAAAGGACATTTAGAAACCACAGACTTGTTTTCTTCCTGGTGGTTTTGCCCAGAAGAGTTTCAAATCAAGCTCCTAGAGGGGAAAATCTCTCCCTATTTTAACCTAATGAGCAGGCTCTGCTGAGATCCCAGGGGTCCCTGCAGGTGAGCCTGCGGCCCTGGCTGTGCCCCTGGACCCGGCTCGCAGGTCTCCCTGTCCTGGCACCCTGTCTTCACACCTGCACCCGGCGGCAGTGACTACGGCCTTTGTCTCCGGGAGTTCCTGACCTTCGGCCCTGATGCAGCCCCAGTCTCCGTCCTTTCCTCCCTCCCGTGCCACTCCATGCCCCCGTCCTAAACACACCAGCTTCCTGCCATCCTACTCATCCTTAAAACCCCACTTGTGTCCTGCCTCCTGGATAGCTCCCCCTGCTGCCCTTCACCCCGGCTCCCCTCCCTTCCAGAAGTTCCTCAGGGCAAGAGGCTGTCCGAGGCCTGCTGTGGGTTAGGCTCAGCTCAGAGCAGCGTCAGCAGTGAGCAGAGGATGCGGGCAGCCCGCACACACCCACCCCACCCCAGATCCCAGCCGCGTGCCTGGGAGGCAGCCGGGCCTCCCGTGCTTCCCGCATGGGGAGCCCATCCTATGAGTTGAGCAGCCGACAACTCGGCCTGGGGACTCCTGAAGTCCTGGGGCTCCTGAGGTTCCTGGGGCTTCTGGGATGGGTGCCCCCCCCTTCGGCATCCCCAGCCCAGAGCAGTGCCCCGCTTAGAGCAAGCACTCGGGGCCTTTGAGGCAGATGAGGGGATTCTCAGCCCCTGGGAGTCTCTCTCTCAAAGAACTCAAGCCACGCCAAGTGTTCTTTACAAATTAAGGCCTCAGGAATATGAATCTTTCTTTTGTAAACCCGGCTACTGCTTACTGTGGGGTGAAGGTGCAGAGGGAGGGAAACAGGGAAGAAGAGGCGTCTGTGTCAGAAAAGCTGCATAGATTGTGCCAGATGGGGCAGCGCGGGGCACGGTTCCAAAGGTCCCTAGAGACCGGACCTCTGTGCTGCACCAGGAGCCGTGGGCGTGGGCTCCTCACACGGATGGAAGCACGCGGCAGAGATAACGGCGGGGCAGGGATGCAGTGACGTGGGAGGTGACCAGAAGGCAGGAGACACTCTGCTTGGAAGTGCCACTTGCCTTGAGAAATCAGGAGAGGAGGGGGCGGCGGCTGCAGGTCCTCTGAGTGCAGGGACTCGGCAGCGGCCCTTCGCTCCCTCCAGCAGGTGGTGTTTGCGGCACAGAGAAAGGCTCAGGAACGTTTGCTGAATAACCAGATGTGGTGGGCAGGCAAGTGCAGCCCCTGCACCAGGCGCTGAGCAGCCCGGGCCGCTGGCGTGTGGGGACGGCTGGGGACGGCTGGGGACGGCTGTCGGCCGCCCTCGTGTTCCTCGAGAGGGACGGCCCCTCGGGCTCCTCTCACCCCACCTCCCCACCTGTGCTGGTGCTGCAACGAGGGACCAACTGTGGGGCAGCTCCTCAGTGGCTGAGGCACGAGGCCAGTGACAGTGACACACGCAGAGAATCGTGGTTTCAGGGCAGGCCCCTGTGGCTGTGAGTGTAATTTCACCCTCTCTTGGGCACCGTGGGTGACCCAGGACGTGGATGTCATTTCTCAGAACAGGGCCACAGGAGCCTGCCCACCTGGCCCAGGTCTATCCACGAGGCAAATATTTAGTGCACTTGGGGGACTCAGAGGAGTGCGTACATTTTTTTTTTTATTAAATTTTTGGCAGCAGACCGACACAGGGATCAAACCCTGGACCCTGGACCCTGGTGTTATCAACACCACGCTCTAGCCAACATTTTTCTTAATCCTGAAGGGCCATCTGAGCTCCAGGAGAAAAGCCAGGTGGAAACGCGGGCTGCCTGCCCTCAAGTGTGGTGGGCACCGGCGATCAGCGCGAATTAGGAAATCCAGCATCACTGACCTAGGTTGGAAGGGCTGAGGATGCGGCTTCCCCAGGGACACCACCCAGCTCCATTGTCCCGGCAGCAGCCGCAGGCTCACACCCCCCAGGAGCCCGCAGAGGGACCCTGTGTTCCCCTGAGCCCTTGTGATGGTTGCTCTGAAGGCCACACGAGGAGAGGCGCCCGTCTCACCTGCAGGCTGCCCGCCCCCTGGCCGTCCAGAGATGCAGCCCAGATGTTAAATTCCCCGTGAACCATGTGCACCAGCGAGAAATCGCCTGAACAGCGCAGAACCATCCCTCAGGGGACCGGAAGCAGCGCTCGGGTCCTGCTGTCCCGGCTCTGAGTCCACCTGACTGCAGTCTGGGCTTCAGCTCTCAGGCTGGTTGTCTGGTGTGTGGAGTCCTGGTCGGCATGTGACAGGGTGTGCAGGAAAGGCCGGTGGGGACGGCCAGAGCCCCAAGGTGCTGCCTGGGTCACTGCAGCAGATGGGGGACCCCAAAGTCTGAGCGTGAGAGAGGCGGGGCAGCTTGTCCAGGGAGAAGGGGAGGAGGGATGGCTGGAGCCACCCTCTGAAGTGGACCCCCCAAAGCCCGTGCTGCCTGGGCCCGGCTCCGCCGTCCCACCGCAGCCTGCTCCAGGGCCTGCGTGGCCCCTCCCGTCTGTGCTGCCCAGGCTCAGGGCCGAGTCTGTGGTACGACCCGCTGGGCACCACATGCCACAGTCCACAGATGGCAGCCACAGGTCCCCCGGGCCCTGAAGCCCTGTGCTCCCCAGGCTTTGTGCATCCCAGCCTCAGAGCAGAGACCATCAGAGGTACTGGGACCCGCCATCAGATTCCCACCATCGGGATCTTAGAAATAGCCCTTCTGAGAAAGACTGAAATAACTGTTTATGCCACAGCTCAGGGGGTCCCACCCCCTCTTCCCAGACGGACAAGCATCTGCGCCTCCAATGGCAATGTAGGTCCACCCCCCACCCCCTTGTGGCCCCCGAGGGCTCCTGCACTCCACCAGGGTCCCTGTGTGCAGGGGGTGCCCTGCTGGCCTGTCCTCCCCCGCAGCTGGCTTCTCCCACCCTGAGGCGGGGAAGAAATTCCCGGGGTCTCTGCTCCACTCCTGGCTCAGCTTCCCACAAGCTAAGCAGATGCCACCTGCAAGACAGGGCCCCTGGGGGAGGGAAGAGGACAGTGACCAGGAGTATCTGAGGCGACGGCTAAGTTCTGGCCAAGGCCGGTGGGGAGGCAGGACTTGGGGACGGTCAGCCCGGCCGTCTCTACTGCTGTGATGGGTCCCCCAGCTGGACCAGAGACGCACAAAACACGCGTCCCCACACACAGAGCTCAGCTCCTTGACAACGCAGGTGGATGACACTGACTCAGGAATGACCGTTTCTGCTTTTCTTTAGAACTTTCACATCGCACAGCCCGTGCCTGAGGTGGCAAGCCCTTCAAAGTTGGAAAGAAAATGACAGCTACTGAATCATGTCACCAGAGTGATCATGTCACTTAGGAGGTTACTTAAAAACGCACACAACCAGGCCTACCACGGACACACCCAGAGCGCCCAGCAGACCCTGTTTCTGGAGCTGGACCTGCCCAGACCGTCTTTTGGATGAGAGCGCAGCAGGTTTGGAAAGGCAGCCGCCACCCCCATGCATGGTACCCTGTGTGCAGTGGCCCCTCAGGGCTGGGGCCGAGGAGACAGTGTGGAAGGTGCTTCATGGATGCCCGAGGCCACTGGGAGGGAGGGGACCACATGTGTGATGCTGGTACTGCAGGTGCGCCCCCAGGGGCCACCAGAGCCTCCTGGAAGTGTGGTCAGGGGCCACCAGGAGGCTAGACAGAGGGACTGGTCCATGAGGGCTTGGACGCAGCACTCGGGGGCGCTGCTCTGCAGCTGGGGAGAGTGGACAGCCTTGGCCTGTGGAGGGCAGTGCCCTCGAACCTCTGGAGGGGTCAGCATAGGGTGGCAGCGGCTCCCCTCTCTGAGCCATGTGCACCTCAGCCAGGCACCAGCCTGGAGGGCAGGACAGCACAGACTCCACACACCCGCCAGGCTCCGCTGAAGGTCGCCTGCTCCCAGCCCAGGCCCAGCCCCCGCCTCTCTCTGACGGGGCCATACGGTGCCTGCCTGGTACAGAGCCGGCCATACCACCCCCAGTCCAGGCTCCTTCTGCCCTGCTCTGCCTGGAGGAGACCTTGTCCCTCTCTGTATCCCCCACCCCCAGATCAGACAGTCCTTTGGGGACAGGGCAGGACCCCCAAGTCCTGCAGCTCAGGGCCTCCCTGGAGTCCTACACAAGGCACCTGGACCAGGCCAGGCAGGGAAGTCTCCTTCTCCAACAACCTGAGGCCCAGGAGCGGAAGGGGGTGACATGTCCCCTGCTCCTGTGGTGTCTCCTCTCCTCTCTGTGAGTGGGTGCTGTGGCCCGACGGGGACCTTCACTGCGTGACACCAGCCCCCGGGCCGCGCACGGCTGCCCTACCTCCTCCGTGGCTCTGGCACAGGTAGGGGAAGCGCCACACGTTGCCGAGCCCCACACAGAATCCCACGCAGGTGAGCATGTACTGCGCCTTGTTGTCCCACTGCGGCCGGGAGCTGGCCTCCTGCCGATCGAGGGCATCCAGCCTGCCCAGCGACGGGATCCGGTCCTCCAGGCCGGGGTTGGGCAGCGCGAGCCTCACCATGGTGCTCGGGGAGCTGGCCCTGGCACTGCAGGCAGGCGGGAGCTGGAGAACGGCTGGGTGCGGAGCCCCTGCACTTTATAGAGAACCTTTGGCCCCTCACCCCAGCACCTGGGCAGAAAGGAGGTGTCAGCAGATCCGAGGGGCGAGTCTGGCAGGACTATTAATGCCTTATCTGCGGAGCCACCCGCCCACCGATGGGAGCCTGCCCCTCCCCCTGTGCAAACGCAGCCCCGTGGGCGGTGGGCGTGTGCTCTGATGGCCACGGGGAGCCACAGGAAGAAAGGACCCAAGGCCAACGGACCGTGTCTGCCTGGCTCAGGGGGTGCTGGTGCTCCCCCAACCCTGGCCCACCACTCACCCCACCGCCACCACAGGAAGCCAGAAGTGGCCCTCTCTTTGCAGCTTGCTCTGAGGACAGCTGGGCCATCCCTGGTCCCACCCCAGCCTAGGGGTGGCAGGTGGATCCTGGTGTCCTGGGATGGCCCATCACCCACTCACACAAGGCGACCCAGCCTGGACCCTCCCATCCCTAGCTCTGGGATCTAAATGGCTCCTCAAAGGGCCTGGGGTTGCTGCCAGTGCCTGGGCACCCAGGGCCACTTGAGATACAGCTGGTCCCTTGTGACCCTGGGCTCATTACAGGGACTCAGAACTGCCGGCCACCCCCAGGGCAGCTCCTTCCTGCAGGCTGTCTGTGTTGGCAGAATTTCTGTCCATCCACGGGCTCATGTGTGGGGCAGCCCCAAACCGGGCACCAGGACAGCAACGGGAAAGAGGCCCAGAGCAGAGGTCAGTCAGGGAGACACGGGGAAGCCACAGGATGACCATGGGGGCCTGGAGAGCCTGGAGGGACAGCAGGCCCAGCCTGGTCTTCAAAGCTGGGGGGTACAAGGAGAGGACCCCACCCCCAGGGGCTGTGTTAATTCAAGTGTGAGGGCAGAGCAGACCTTGTGTGGGTGGGGATGCCCCTCTGGGCTCAGGCTCTGCTCATCCGGCCCCCTGTGCCTCCCCAACATCTCCCCACCCACACAGTCCTGCACACTGAGACCCCCGCTGCTCCCCGCAGGCCTTTCCCTCCAGGGCAGCCGTGGGGTCAGCTCTCCTGGAGGTCCCCCCGCCGGCCACCTGGACTCCACTCGCTGCCCCCCGACCCATATTCCTTCCACCCCTGTGGCCTTCCCAGAATGGATGGGACTTTGTCATTGTGTCTCTGCTGGTTCATCGCGTCAGCATCTGCACGGCTGGACGGTAACGCCGCCCCGCCCCCAGGGCTGGCTCGCACCACCCCCGCTGGATGATGGGGGGGAAGGCGGGAGGGGAGGGCGTCCCTCAAGAACGTGCGAGTCCAGGAGCCTGACCTTTGCCTCCAGAACACTGGGAAAGGGAGGGGGCTAGAGGGAAGGGATCGTGTTTGTATTTAGGAGCATCTGGCTTCTGAGAAGAGCTCAGACTGGAGAGGAGGGCAGGGGCCGGGCAGAGGCTGCTGCAGAAAGAGACAGAGAGGACGGAGGGTCAGCGGGCTGGCCAAGCAGGTGGGGGGAGCCTGGGGACGACCAGTGAGGCAGAGCGAGGGTGGGGTGGGCTGGGAGAGGCTGAGGGTCCCCCTGGACCTGCCCAGAGTGAGCCCCCAGGGGACTAGAGGCAGGCACCCAGGCGTGGCATGGGGGAGTGCTGCTCAGGGAGGCCTGGCGTGTCCTCCTCACCCTAGTCCCTCTGGAAGCCTCCAGGGAGCAGCTCAGGAGTGGCAGAACATGGACTTGGACCCACACCCCTGGACCAGCCGCCCCACAGCTCCTGGTGCCCTAAGGCCCCGATCTGCACTTGGTAGACAGACACAACATTTAACTCCTCGGGTGTTTCCTGAGAAAATATCTGGAAATAGCTCTGGCAGAAAGAGGCCTGGTGCCCAGGCTGGGCCTGAGCCGCACCCTGCAACCAGGACTGGCATTTCTTTGGTTCCTGCCCCAGAGCCACCTTGTGTACAGACCCCCAAAGGGTCCCAATGTCACCACCACATGCATTTTCTGTGGCCCCCACAGTCCGGCGGGCCTCCCCAGGTGAGGCACAGGTGCCGTGGCTTCCTGCAGCTGGACCCGAGCCGCATCGGCCACTAGCCCTGCGCAGGGCCGCGGGCCGGGCCTTCCTCCATGTGCTGGCCATGAAGTGAGCTCTGGCCAGTCCCAGCCTCTGCCATGTGGTCTCACAGGCTGGCCGTGGCACTCCAACTGGCTGGCAGCCTCCTGGGGGCTTGGCTTTCCTCAGGTGCAGGGCAGGTGCAGCTCTGCTGGGCACCAGGAGACCTCTCTTCTGCGCCAAAGCCGGGCACAGGCCCACAAGGTGAGGCGCGAAGGCTGTTGGCCACGGTGACATGTTCGTTCTCTGGGTAGTGTGACCAAGGCCCTCCCATGCGAATTCTGTGTGCGTAAGGGCAAAGGCTGGCAACCTCCAGGTGGCAGCAGGGTCCTGCCTGCCCTGCCTGTGACTTCCAGCCTCCTCTGCCTGAAGCCCCTGGGGTCCTCTCACATGCCCCCTGCGCCCATTCCCCCACCAGGAGCCCTCTTCCCACAGTGCCCACCTGGCCAGCTCCCTCCTACCGGCAAGTCTCAGCATAGACCCGCCCAGGTGGCCCTGGCCACGGGCTTAATGCTGCACCTGGTACCTTCCGGCCCACTCCCCCACTCTTCCTTCTCATAGCACTGTTTCCTGCTAATGTGCCCACGGGTGGTTTAGCTTATCAGTTGCTTATCTTCTCCAGCAGAAGGTGAGGCGCCCCAGGCAGGGATCTCTGTCTCCTCTACAGATAAGCCTGGAGCCTCCTGCGTGAGCCCTCAGTCAACACACATCCTCCGAGTTCCACGCTGCTGGGAGACCTGGGGAGCTGTCCCTGGCAGGGGACATCCGACCCGCCACCTCACCACTCCCTTGCTGGTTCCACCACCGGCCAGCTCACCAGGGACCACAGGAGATTGGCCAACCTGGTCTTCCCAACAGGGTCTAGTTCCCTTCCAAAATCTGGGGTGCTCAGGGGATAGATGAACACACTTGGTGAACTTTCTGCTTTTACTCAGATTGTATTTAAAAATAACCAGAAACACTACGAGCCACGAAACATTGTCAATACCCCACAGCGTCGCCCCTGTCCTACAACTCTGATGGCCCCCAAAAGTAGCAGCCCCACTCACAGCAGCGGTCCAGGCCCCACACGCCTCCCTTGAGGCTGGAGAGGTGATTCGGGGTAAATTGTGAAAAGTTACGCATGCACAGTGGGGTTGCTGTCGAGGGTCCGCGCAGAGCAGGATCCATCCGTGGCCGGCCCGTCCTGCAGCCGAGGACCTCGCCCCCCGCGCCACACTCTGAACAACATTCTTCACCCGGCTTTGTTCCAACAGCTCTTCACTACACAAGCAACGCATGCTCAATAAAGAAAACTGAAGCATCTTCAACTGTCCAGCGGAGAAAAACAGTCCAGTTTGGTCTTTGCTCTATAGTTTGTAAATATGTGTGTGGCTCACACACTCACTAGCTGAAATTCTGCTGTCTGTGCACGGTTTTTACTTACGTTTTGAGTATTTTCTTTTCATTACATTTTTTAATTGTTTAATTAAATTTAAATTTTTATTTATTTTTTAAATTAAATTTTTATTGTTTTTCTTTCCTGTGTAATTTTTGATGTGTAACATCAAAAGCACTCAGTGTATGTACACCGTAATCTATTGTAGAAACTTTCCCCAGTGGGCACGTCTCTGATGTTTGTAATTTCCCATTGTGAATATCATATTTGAACAAGCGTCTTTCTGCAGGCTGATGACTTTTCACAAATCAAGCACATCCACGTCACAGACAATCACCCAATCAAGAGCTGAACGTTCCAGAACCCCAGGAGCTGCCACGCCCTCCCGGCACTGTCCCTGCTTCCCAAAAGAAACCACTGTCCCTGTCGATTCTGAAACCATAGTTTAACTCTGCCACCTCTCGTGGTCTGCACACTCTGCTCCTGGCTTCAGTTCGTGGGGTCGCCGTGGTGCAGCCTGAGGCGTCCCTTCATGCAGGCTGTCTCTGCGTGGTGTCCCCGGCAAGTGCCGTTCTTCGTCCTGGGCAGATGTCCGGTCTGCGCCGTTAGAATGAAAGCTGCGGTGAGCATCTGTCCTGATCTCTTGCCACAGGTGTCCGTGTCTCTGCAGGTGCACACCCCGAGTGGGCTGCCACCTCCTGCAGTGAGTGAGAGTCCAGCTGAGAAGATGCCACCCAGTGGTTTCCAGGAACAGGTGAGCCAGGTCCCCCCGCCTGGCCCAGGACGTGGGCGAGCTCCACCTGCTCCACGCTCTTGCCGACGCCCACTGTCTGCCTGTTTACACGTTAGCCATGGGGCAAGCACGGGGCAGAGTCATCGTGGCTTCATTCGTGTTTCCCCAATGGCCAGTGACCGAGCATCGCTCCATGCACTGGCCATCCCGCTGTCCTCTGTGAAATGCCTGTGGACCTAAGGAAGAACCTGAGGCAAAAACACATAAAACAAAGAGTTTATCTGGGCCAGTGCTTAGAACTGCAGCCTGGGAAGACACAAATTTGAGTTGCCTTGATTTGTGCTCCACCTGCCAACAGTTGTAAGCAGATGTTTTTTTCAATTTTAAATAGACTCCTCTTTTTTTTTTTTTTCAGTTTTTTAAATCGTGGTAAAGTATATACACATAAGGGTTGCCGCTCTAAGCATTTTTAAACATGCAATTGTGTGGAATTAGTCACGTTCCGATGCTGTGTGAATTCCACCACCTCTATTTCCAAAACTTGTAGAAAAATTTCTAAAGGGAGAAAAGAAGTTAGGGGAGGTCCCAGCATTGTGTGCCGATCATAAGTGTCACGAGCTCTGATTGGCTACCTGTTGCTCTTCGTGTCATAAATATTTGGAGTTTGCAGCAAAGAAAGGGAGAGGGTCACATTGGCCAACTTGTGACAGCATTCAGGAAATTTTTACTCATCGGGGTGGCAACTAATCTGAAGAC